TTACATTATGGGTATTGAGTGAAGAGATGGAGCTAAAATCCCGAAATTTTTATATGGATGTCACGGATGGTGTCTGTAATTGATGAATGAAGTTGTTTTTGAAAATTCATACTATGAGCGTAGGAGTGGAAAATGCCACAAAATATACCGTTGGTTCTTGGGATACAGTTAGAATTCTGAAATTTGGTATCGAGTTCACTGCTAGTGTCTAGGGCGGAAAAAGAAGGTGGTTTTGGTAATGTATAGTATAACTGTACGAAAAGTATGGTAATAAGTTTGAAATAGGGTCTGACAATAGAACTGGAGTTCTGAAATTTGGCATTGAGGTTTCAGTTGGTTTTGTGAAAAAGTGGTGGATTTGGGAATTGTGGGAATTTGCAAAACAAAAAACCTTTGGTACATTCATCTTACACTCCATCAGTGACCTCATTTCAAATTTAATAGTTCTAGCTCTATGATACCATATTTAGTACTTTACGTACCGTTCTAGTTCGGATTTCCAAAATACACACAAAATTTCTTAGTACACGCCTACGCACCAAGCTGACCCTTGTGTGAAAATTTCAAGATTCTAGCTTCAGCTTTGATTCTCGGTCAGCCAGTCAGTTATTTCATTACTCTTTCATACACATATATAGATAAAATGGAATAACTCAGTCTACTCTTTCTGTTCCTCCCCACAAAACTTCAGAACTTATAAAATATATGCACATAAATCATATACAGGGTGAGAAAAAAAAAAACTGCAACTAACTTCAAACTGCTGACAGCTCATTATATTGTTTACAAGCGTAAAAAAGTATTTTGGTGAGAATCTTCCAGAAAAAAAAGTTATTCGTGGTGAAATTTAAGCGTGATAGTGTGATTTCTTCATATTTGGCTGGAAAACTACAAGTGGCTATCGTTAGAGCACTCCAGCATTTAAATGTAAATAATATATACTGGTAGAGTAGCCCGACGTTAAAGAAGTGGACGGAAGAAAACAGCAACATCAGCAGAAATAGTTCAAAAAGCAAAGAAGCGACTTGATCGAAACCCGCATTGCAGTGGTAAAAAAAATGGCTCGTGAGCTGAACATATCACAATATTCCATTCGGCAAATATTGACAAATGAGTTCGGGGTAAAGCCATTGAAATTCCAAAAAGTGCAAGAACTTACACCGCAACAGAAAGAGAATGGACTCAAAAGAGGAAAAGCCTGTCGAATATGGTTTTCTCCGTTGAGAAAACATTGCCAAAGAGGTCAGCTGAAAATGTGCACCTTCGGTTGACCACCAGAACTCAAGCGCCGGCCATGGTAATGGTGTAGCCGCTCGTGTTAATTGACCGTGGCATAAGAAGAGATACCGAATATTATCGCGAAAATATTCTGGAGGGTGTATTAGAGCTTTGGGCACGCAAACATTTTGACCGCAGACCTTGGACATTCCAACAAGACTCAGCACCATCGCACTCAGCACGCGCCGCACAAGAATGGTTACAAAATGAGGTCCCTCGCTTCATTTCCAGCGTACAATCGCCACCAAAAGGTTGGCACTAAAAAATACCGAAGTGTCGATCACCTCAAGCAAGCGCTTCGCCGGGAATGGGCCAAAATACCGCTGAACAACATTCGGGCAGCGTGTGACGGTTTCATTGGCCAAAGGCTATAATTCGTGCCAAATGGGACCAATTCGAACAAATTTAAACGTGTTCTAAAATTTGATGCTATTTCCGACATTTTATGCTTTCATTCAATAAAATTAAAAAAATAAAAATTATGGCGTTTGGCTTTGTTGCAGTTTTTTTATTTCACACTGTATAGTGAATGAATTAGTCTGGCACATCCCAATTTTATATCAGACTTGCGTCAGATGCGAAATAGAAAATATTGGTCCACTCTTTCTGTACCTGCCCCATTAAACGACAAGATTTTGGATGAGCATAACACAAGTCAAAATATATTTAAATAAACATACATACGTTGAGGGATATATATGTCGGCTAAACCGATGTCTGTCTATTGAAATCACGATACGGTCCACATTATTTGACGTAGAGCTTCAATATTTGGCAGACCAATTTGAATTGTGTCTAGGATGCTGGGTATTGAAAATATATGAGATACTAGCTGGCCCGGTCCGCGTTGCCTCCCGGTACTTTGAGGCTGTAATGTATATTTTTTTCTCCGAAAATTGAAAATTTTATGCGATTATCCCCTTAGCAACAATTAAAAAAAAAATGGCCAACACCCTGAAAATAGCTTAAGTCATATGATGGTTATACCAAAAAGCGATCATTTTTGCAAGGATGGTTTCTTCTCAAATTACCAATACCAATACCGAAATTAGTATGTATGGTATGGTTAAAATGTAAAGTATACATGAAATCGGGTTTAAAAAAACGGCAAAATGGATTTAAGGTGTCTTGAAAGTTAAGGAAGAATTTCTTAAAGAATAGAAATCCCTTTCCTACTAAATGTCCAATTCGATTTACTATTTACGCCCTTTATGTTCGGTATTTCATTTATTGCAGTCCCAATGATTATACCCTACACCACAAGGTGGTCAGGGTATTATGTCTTTGTGCATTTGTTTGTAACAGGCAAAAGGAAACGAGATAGACCCATAGTTCCTTTTGATGATCTGCATAGAATCACTTTCTGAGTTGATTTATGCATGTCAGTCCGTCTGTCCGTCCGTCCGTCTGTCCATGTATTCTTGTGAACAAAATGCAGGTCGCATTTATTATCCGATTGAGATTAAATTTTGCAAACAACATTTGTTTGGCCCAAGGACGAACCCTATTGAAATTGGAGATAATCGGTAAAAATTTAGATATAGCTCCCATATATATTCGTCCGATTTGCCTTTTATTGTGCACCAAACGCGTAATATCAGCCCGAATAGTATGGAATGCCAAATTTTATGGAAATCGGTTCAGATATAGCTATAGCTCCCATATATATTGTTCATCCGATTTGTTATTTTTGTCCTCCGCAGCCGTAATATGCACTCCGTAACAACAATATTTGGGGAAATATACCAAATGCAGCCCAGAAATACCTTTGCTAAATTTTATCGAGATCGGTTCAGATTTGGATATAGTTCCCATATATATTTTTATCCGATTTCAAATTAATTTCGCACCAAATGGGCAATACAAGTCCGAATTTAAAAGATACAAATGCTTCGGCATATTTAGTCCTTTGAATTTTAAATTATAATTATAATCATAGCGTGTATGATTGAATTCTCCCATAAAACTTTTAATTATTAAGTGGAGCTCAACTAAGCAAAGTGGTGTAGGGTATCATAAAATCGGCCCCGCCCGACTTTAGGACTTTCTTTACTGGTTTTTTACTGCAAATGTTTAAAGGTCATAGCGAAGTTTGTCAATAGAATGTACTACAATTTTAAAAATCGATTCCATTGAATTTTTTTTTCGATTTTTTTCCAATTTTAGAATTTTTGCAATCAGTTAGTCTCTTTTTATACCCTACAACACTATGTGTTGGGGGTATTATAAGTTTGATTGGCACAAAAATTATGTTACACCTCGAAATATTGGTTTCCCAAATAGGAAAGTATATATGGATCTTACTCTCTCGCCGAGCTGAGTCGATCTAGCTATGTGTGTCCGTCCTTCTATCCGTCTGTCCATGTTAATTTGTAATCACTCTACAGGTCGCAATTATGGCCTGATCTTCACGAAATTTAGAGGTGTGGCTAGAGCCAGAGTAGAAGCCTATTGCTTTTGGAGGTGATCTCTTAATATTTGGGGGTTGAAATGTACCAAAAACTGAACAATTTTCTGACTTTGCAGTTGCTCTACAGGTCGCAATTATAGACCAATCGAAACGGAAGTTAGCATGGGCCTAGAGCTTAGGGCTGGGCAGAAGCCTTCCAATTTTGGTCATCGGCTTATATTTAGTGCGTGAAATAGACCATTACATTTGTGTTAAATAAAAGTGTCAAATTTTCCATTAAACCGCGAATATTTGTGATCCCGGCGAAATCACAAATAGACGAACAGGTCAATTCTGCCCGTTACATAGATGTCAATAGTAAATACATCGGATATATATAGCGAAATATATACAATACAATGTATACACCAAGGAAGGGGATGTTAGCTAGAATGCTTATATCTCAAGAATGGCTGGACCGATTTTGACAAATTTTGTCAATTCAGAATGCCCTCTTTGCATAAAAGTATAACATTTTTTTCAATTTGACTTATATTATTGTATTGCATAATTTGTCACATTATTTCACTTTACAACACAGGTTGGGGTTTTTTGTATACAGATTACAATTATCGTCCGATCCTCACGAAAATTTTCACAGGTGTAGGCTCAGAAGGACTAGGCCTGTTGTTTTCAAAAATGTCCGCAATATATAAGGGATTGAAATGGACCAACAATTCTGTTTTGCAGCCGTTATAAAGGTCACAAATAGAAACCAAATGACATGAAATCTGCATGAAGTTAAAGTTTAGAACAGCGGGTAGAATGGGCCACTACTTTTGTGTGAAAAAAATACCAACATTTTCATTCTAACGAAATGCTGAAAATAACTTACAGGCGAACTCCAAAATACACATAAGGCGAACTTCTGGCTATTTTATGCTGATTTCGTTGACGAATATAGCCAAATATCGTAGACAAGCAAATCATATAAATGATTTTAATGTTTTTTTACTTCTTACAACATATTTTGAGGCGCTACGCACAAACATAATATATATTAATGTATTCATAGTATGAATAATATAAACTAATGTATGTGTATTATATAGCATTTTAAAGTTTAAAAATTGTTGGGTGCGCTTAAAAACCCACTACTAAAATCTTAATTATAAAAAAATCACTTTTCATATGACACAATGCCTTTACGAATATTCATTTTGACAAGAGACGTTGTCTAAGGCATAATTTCGAAAAATTTGTAAGAATATGAATACAGAAAGATATCTTCTTAATTTTATCATGGCCTTTTGCTATAAATTTAAATCTACCATTTACAATTGACACGTTTTATTATTATTTAAATACAAAGGGAATAAAATAAAAAAAAAATATAAAAAATGTGAAGTTCTTAATATAGTTGTATTGTAAATATTCCTATAAATGCGTTTACATATGTATATGGATTTGGATATGTACAAAATGATGATATTGGCTATTAAACAAATGACTATTTTTTGAGATAAAACAATAATTGTTTTCTTCAATATCACATCGTTTCGATTTGTTCCACAATCCAATCCATCCAATGTTGGGTGCTAATATAAATTCCTGGCACCTTGCCGCAGCCATGGCCATAGGAGACGACACCAATCAAGTAATAACGGGTAACACCCTTGTATAACTATAGGCGACAAGAAGAAGAAAATATGTTTACAATCAATCATTTCAAAAAATCTTAAACAAATACTTACTTCAGGTATCATCAGTGGACCACCAGAATCGCCTTGGCATGTGTCGGTTCCGCCCACCGTGTAACCTGCACAAATTATGGCATTGCCATAATCTTCATCGGGCACACTTGGCGCCAATCTTTTGTAGATCTGACGACAGACATCGTTCTCCAATACCGGCAACTGTGCCTCTTTCAATACCTGCGAAGAAGTTCCACTCTGTTCCGTATTACCCCAGCCGGCAACAAATGGCATACTATTGACATAGGATTTGGAACGTAGCTGTACGGAATTGGGCATACAAATGGGAGCGATAAGATCTAAAATAGGAAAAAATATATAAATTAGTATTTTTTGATATTTATTATTAATCTATAAATTTTTACGTCATAGCACGCGAAGAGAGTAGCAAACTTTGATCAGTTACGAAAGAAATGGTTCGAAAAGTAAAGAAGCGACTTGATGAAAACCCCCGTCCTAGGGATCGAAAAATGGCACATGAGCTGAACATTTCACAATATTTCAATTGGAAAATATTGAAAAATGAGGGTAAATCGGGATAAAGCCATTGAAATTCCAAAAAGTGCAGGAACTTACACCGCAACAGAAAGAAAATAGACTCAAAAGAGCGAAAGACTTGCTTCGCTTGGCCGAAAGTGGTGAACTGCCGTGTTTGGTTTTCTCCGATTAGAAAACATTCATTGTCCAGCAGTTTGTAAACAAACAACATGATCGTGTTTACTTGCCAAAGAGGTCAGCTAAAAATGTGCACTTTCAGTTGGCCACCAGGACTCAAGCGCCGGCCATGGTGATGGTGTGGGCCGCCATAACAGCCGATGGTCGCTCTCTGCTCGTATTAATTGACCGTGGCATCAGAATAAATGCCAAATATTATTGCGAAAATATTTTGGAGGGTGTATTAAAGCCAGCACCATCGCACTCAGCACGAGCCACCCAAGAATGATTACAAAATGAGGTACTTCGCTTCATTTCCAGCGCACAATGGCCATTAAAATCTCCGGATACCAATCTGTTGGACTATTGTGGCTGGAGTATTTTGGAAAACAAGGTTGGCACTAAAAAATATCAAAGTGTCGATCACCTCAAGCAAGCGCTTCACCGGAAATTTGCCAAAATACCGCAGAGCAAGATACGGGCAGCGTGTGATGGTTTCATTGGCCGTTTGAAGGCCATAATTCGTGCCAAAGGTGATCAAATCGAACAAATCTAAACTTGTTCTAAAAATTGATGCTATTTCCGACCTTTTCGCTTTCATTCAAAAAAAAAAAAAAAATAAATAAAAAAATGTAAAAATTATGGCGTTTGACTTTGTTGCAGTTTTTTTATCTCACCCTGTATATTCATTATCAGCATAAAATTCCAAGTGGATTTAACGATGTCAGTCTGTCCATCTGTCCGTTTGATGCAGAGGTTACAAATTTGGCAGAAGAATTTGGATTGTGTCTAGGATGGGTGGTATTGAAAATGAGTTATATTGGTCTACGTTTTGATATAGTCGCCGTATAACGGTACCTGCCAATATTCGGTATTTTTTTTGATGATTTTCGCCACATTTTTTCACGGATTTGTCTAAAAATTAGTATTTGTAGTTCGCAATGTATTTGTAGTTCGCAATGGATTGGCGGAACATAGTATATATGTATGTCCACGTATAGTCCCCATATAACGGCACTTCCCGATATTCGGTATTTTGTCACATTTTTTTTCACGGACTTGTCTAAAAATTGTTATTTGTAGTTCTTAATGGGTTCTAGCTCCTGTGGCGGAACATAGTTTACATAGGTCCACGTTTTCGTATATCCCCCACATAATGGTACCTCCAGATATTCGGTATTTTGATGATTTTTGCCACATTTTTCCACGGATTTTTCTAAAAATTTGTATTTGTAGTTCGTAATGGGTTATAGCTCCGGCGATAGAACTTTGAATATTTAGGTCCACGTTTTCCTATAGCGCACATACCCACCGATATTCGGTATTTCGATAATCCTAGTCACATTTACCCACGAAATTGTTTCAAATCAAGGTTTGGTAGATAAAAATCCTTGAAGTATAAAATTGTCTATAGAGGGTTCCCGTTTTGATATGGCCCTTAAACGACAGGCTCACATACATTATGGTTTTTTTGAAAAGTTTAACACCATTATCCAAACGGTCTTAGTGGTATATGAAGTTTAATACAATGTATATATGCAAAGGAAGGGGATGTTAGCTAGAATGCTTATATCTCAAGAATGGCTGGACCGATTTTGACAAATTTTTGTCAATTCAGAATAAAAGAATAAAATCTAAAAAAATCGCATAAAAAGATGCCAATAATGATGTTAGTACAGATTTTGTAGTATTTTGTGATTTTTATACCCTCCACCATACTATGGAGGGTATATTAACTTTGTCATTCCGTTTGTAACTCCTCGAAATACTCATATCAGACCCAACAAAGTATATATATTCTTGATCAGCGTAAAATTCTAAGTCGAATTAGCGATGTCCGTCTGTCTGTCTGTCTGTCCGTCTGTCTGTTGTAATCACGCTATCTTTCGAATGAATTGAGATAGATGACTAAAATTTTGCACACATGTTTATTTTTCCAGTAGGCAGGTTAAGTCCGTAAATGGGCCATGTAGGTCTACGTTTTCATATAGCCACCATATAACGGTACCTCCCGATATTCGGTATTTTGATCAGTTTAGCGACATTATTCACGGGAATTGTTTCAAATTTGGTATTTGAAGTTCAAAATGGATACTACACCCTAAGACAGAAAATTGTCTGTGCTGGTCCACGTCTTCATATAGCCCCCCCCCCCCCCCCATATAACGGTACCTCCCTATATTCGGTATTTTGATGATTTTAGCGACATTATTCATCGGAATTGTTTCAAAATTGGTATTTAAAGTTCGTAATGAGAACTACAGTCTGTGACAAAAAATTGTCTGTGCGGGTTCAGGTCTCCGTATAGGCCCCATATATCAGTACCTTCCTATATTCGGTATTTTGACGATTTTAGGTACAATACCCACCGAAATTGTTTGAGATGTGGTATTTGAAGTTCGTAATGGATGCTACAGCCTGTGACAGAAAATTGTCTATGTTGGTCCAGGTCTTCGCACAGCTCCAATTTAACGGCACCTCCTTATATACGATATTTTGATGATTTTAGCTACATTATTCACCGTTTATTGCAAGTTTCGAATTTGAATATGGTAATGGCTTATGACAAACAATGCCTATGTATGTCCACGTCGTATAGACCCCAAAATAACGGCTGTATTCGGTATTTTAAAATTTTAACAGAATTTTTTAAGGATTTTATTTTTTAAAAATTTCCAGATTCGTTGCAAATGGTGGAGGGTATTTAAAGTTCGGCCCGGCTGAACTTACTGCTTTTTAACTTGTTTTTATTTGTATACCCTCCACCATACTATGGAGGGTATATTAACTTTGTCATTCCGTTTGTAACTCCTCGAAATACTCATGTCAGACCCAAAAAAGTATATATATTCTTGATCAGCGTAAAATTTTAAGTCGATTTAGCGATGTCCGTCTGTCTGTCTGTCGGTCCGTCTGTCTGTCCGTCTGTCTGTCTGTTGTAATCACGCTATCTTTCGAATGAATTGTGATAGATGGCTAAAATTCACACATGTTTATTTTTCCAGTAGGCAGGTTAAGTTCGTAAATGGGCCATGTAGGTCCACGTTTTCATATAGCCCCCATATAACGGTACCTCCCTCTATTCGGTATTTTGATGATTTTAGCGACATTATTTACGGGAATTGTTTCAAATTTGGTATTTGAAGTTCAAAATGTATACTACACCCTAAGATGGAAAACTGTCTATGCAGGTCCACGTCTTCGTATAGCCCCCATATAACGGTACCTCCCGATATTCGGTATTTTGATGATTTTAGCAACATTATTCACGGGAATTGTTTCAAATTTGGTATTTGAAGTTCAAGGTGGATACTACACCCTAAGACAGAAAATTGTCTGTGCAGGTCCACGTCTTCATATAGCCCCCATATAACGGTACCTCCCTATATTCGGTATTTTGATGATTTTAGCGACATTATTCACCGGAATTGTTTCAAAATTGGTATTTGAAGTTCGTTATGGGAACTACAGTCTGTTACAGAAAATTGTCTGTGCGGGTCCAGGTCTTCGTATAGGCCCCATATATCAGTACCTCCATATATTCGGTATTTTGACGATTTTAGGTACAATACCCACCAAAATTGTTTGAGATGTGGTATTTGAAGTTCGTAATGGATGCTACAGCCTGGGACAGAAAATTGCCTATGCTGGTCCAGGTCTTCGCACAGCTCCAATTTAACGGCACCTCCTTATAATATCGTATATAAGGGTAAGGAATTGATGATTTTAGCTACATTATTCACCGTTTATTTCAAGTTTCGAATTTGAATATGGTAATGGCTTATGACAAACAATGCCTATGTATGTCCAAGTCGTATAGACCCCAATATAACGGCTATATTCGGTATTTTTAAAATTTTAACAAAATTTTTTAAGGATTTTATTTTTTAAAAATGTCCAAATTCGTTGCAAATGGTGGAGGGTATTAAAAGTTCGGCCCGGCCGAACTTACTGCTTTTTAACTTGTTTCCTATTATTTATGGCATGCGATTTTTATACCCTCCACCATACATAGTATGGAGGGTATATTAAGTTCGTCATTCCGTTTCTAACTCATCGAAATAATAATTTTAGACCCAACAAAGTATATATATTCTTGATCAGCGTAAAATTCTAAGACGATTTAGCCCTTTCCGTCCGTCCGTCCGTCTGCTGTAATCACGCTATAGTCAAAACGAATTAAGATAGGAAGCTAAAATTTTGCACAGATCTGTCTTTTGTGTGCAGGCAGGTCAAGTTCGAAGATGGGCTATATCGGCGATATCGTACAGCTCCCATATAACGGTACCCCCCGATATTGGGTATTTTGATGATTTTGGCCACATTTTTCAATGGAATTGTCTGAAATTCTACACAAGAAGTTGCTTGTGAGTACTTTATCCCCTGGAAGATAATTGCCTATATAGGTGCACGATATCGTATATCCCCAATAAAACGGTACCCCCCGATAGTTGGTATTTTGATGATTTTAGCTACATTTTTCAATGGAATTGTCTGAAATTCTACACAAGGAGTTCTGTGTGAGTACTTTACCCCCAGAAATAGATTTGTCTATATAGGTTCACAATATCATATAACCCCCCAATATATCGGCACTTCCGATATTCGGTATTTTTAAGATTTTAATAGAATTTTTAATGGATTTTAGTTTTTTGAAATTTTCCTAATTCGTTCAAATTGGTGGAAGGTATTAAAAATTCGGCCCGGCCGACCGAACTGTTTTTTTACTTGTTTTAATTTGACTTATAATATTGAAGTATACATTTTGTGATATTTTTTTACCTTACAACACAAGTTGGGGTTAGTATATACAGATTGCAGTTATTGTCCGATCCTCGCGAAAATTTTCACATGGGTGGCGTTAGGCTCAGAATGACTAGGCGTTTTGTTTTCAAAGATGTACGCAATATATTTTGGGGTTGAGATGGACCCACAACTAAAAATGTTCCTGATTTTTGAAGCCGTTATAAAGGTAACAAATATAAACTAAAGGACACAAAATCTCACATGAAGTTAGTGTTTAAAACAGCGGGTTGAATGGACCACTACTTTTGTGTGAAAAAATACCAACATTATTTACAGATAATATCCGAAATACACAAAAGGCGAACTTCAGGCTTTTTTATGCTGATTTCGTTGACGAATATATCCAAATATCGTTGAGAAGAAAATCATATATATGAGTCTAAATTTGGAGATACAGAGGGGCTTCTTGTTTTTGGAGATGATCGAAAAGTATTTAGGGGTTGAGGAGAAAACAGAAAACATTTCCAGATCACACAATTGAAGCCAATCGACACGTCTGTGAAGAGAGTTAAGGACAGGGAAGAAGTCTAGCATTTTGGATGACCATTGGATTATATTTTGCTGTAAAATGGACCACAACAACGAACAGCACGACGGAGAGCGTAAATATTGGGCAAATGGCCGTGGTCAAAATAAAAAGGCTAATATCTGGGCTGTACTCCGTGACATAATTTTAAAAGCGAAATCTTCAAAAAAAATGGATTTGGACATAAAGGGGCTTCTAACATATTGTAGTGTTGTAGGGTACCACATGGTCGGCCCCGCACGTCTATAGCCTTTGCTTACTTGTTTTTTATTTTAACTCAATGTAAATTCCAATAAACATTACTCCAACACTTAATACTACATACACATACACACATACATATCTACATACATACCTGAAAATTGTACAACTGTTTCCAATAGCAAGATCGCCAAATCTGATCTTCGGTTTTTACCAAATTGGGGATGCTTTGAATGCTAATTACACGCCATGGTCGTCATCGTCATCATTATCATCGATTAATTGGCGGTGAAAATAATGCAAATATAGAATAAAATAATAATTTAATTTTGTGCACAAAAAATGTATATCATTAAATTATTTAAAATGCACAAATGCGCACAACAACAACAATGCATACATTTACAATCTGTCCAGAATTGCAAACATTGTATTCAGATCACTGCAAGTCATTCAAAATAAATGATGAATGCAAAATTGCCTATGAGTGAAAATTTCGTCACTTGATGCGGACCTATTAAGACAAATCGATCTCTGGGTGTAAAGTACTCACAAGGAACTCCTTGTGTGGATTTTCTGATAATTCCATTGGAAAAAGTCAAACTACTGAATATCGGGGGGAACCGTTATATGGGGGATATACGATATTGCGGACCAATATAGACAATTCCCTTTCAGGGGGTAAAGTGCTCACAAAGAACTCCTTGAGTGGATTTTCAGACAATACGATTTGAAAATGTGGCTAAAATCATCAAAATACCGAATATCGGGGGTACCGTTATATGGGTGCTATACGATATCATTAAACTATATAAAGAATTCTCTGTCGGGGGGTAAAGAGCTCACAAAAAATCCCTTGTGTACAATTTACGTTGAAAAATGTGGCTAAAATCATCAAAATACCGTTATATGGGGGCTACACGATATCGTGGACCTATATAGATAATTCCCTGCCGAGGTATAAAGTACCCACAAGGAACTCCTTGTGTGGATTTTCAGACAATTCCGTTGAAAAATGTGGGTAAAGTTATCAAAATACCGAATATCGGGGGTACCGTTATATGGGGGATATCGTGGACCTATATAGACAATTCTCTCTCAGGGGGTAAAATATTCACAAGGAACTACTTGTGTTAATATTCAGACAATTCCATTGAAAAATGTGGCTAATATCTTCAAAATACCGAATATCGGAGGGTACCGTTATATGAGGGCTATACGACATCGTGGACCGATATAGCCCATCTTCGAACTTGACCTGCCGGCAGACAAGTCTGCTACTGACCAATATATCCCATCTTCACATCAGATTTTGCGTTAGTAAAAATATTGAAATGTGCACAAGCTGGGCAAAATTTTATGATTCTTTCTTGTTCTATAAAGTAAATTATTTTCGGGCCGAAGTTGCTTGACCGATCTTAGTTTTGATTATAATATTACAATGTACCAAGTTTGGACCAAATCGGATACTCCCTTCGAGAGTTATAGTGCGCACCAACCAGACAGACTGACGGACGGACGTACACCCCTAGATCGACTACAAATGTCATGAAACGGATTTAGTCCAAAGAGACCTAGGCTCAAAGACCGTTAGTTCGATAAGGCCAAACGTCCGTATCAAACGATATAAAGGGGCGAATATAGCCATATGTCTTAGGGTATAGAACCACTTTACAAAGTGAGATGAAAAAACTTCAACCAATTTCAGACTGCTGTCATTTCTAAGCCACTCGTCCGTTATTCGCGATGGAATTCAAGCGTGATAGTGTGATTTCTCTATATTTGGCTGGAAAACCACAAGTGGCTATCGTTAGAGCACTCCAGCATTTAACTGTGAATAAATCTTTTGTGTCCCGTACCATCGCTCGGAAGAAAACAGCAACATCTGCAGAAATAGTTCGAAAAGTAAAGAAGCGACTTGATCGAAACCCGCGTCGCAGTGTCCGAAAAATGGCTCGTGAGCTGAACATATCGCAATATTCCATTCGGCAAATATTGAAAAATGACGGTAAATCGGGGTAAAGCCATTAAAATTCCAAAAAGTGCAATAACTTACACCGCAACAGAAAGAAAATAGACTCAAAGAGCTAGAGTTGTTTCGCTTGGCCGAAAGTGGTGAACTGTCAAATTTGGTTTTCTCCGACGAGAAAACATTCGTTGTCCAGCAGTTTGTAAAAAACAAAATTATCGTGTTTACTTGCAAAGAGGTCAGCTGAAAATTTGCACCTTCGGATGGCCACCAGAAATCAAGCGCCGGCCATAGTGATGGTGTGGACCGCCATAACAGCCGACGGTTAGAATAAATGCCGAATATTATCGCGAACATATTCTGGAGGGTGTATTAATGTCTTTAAAGCCACCTAAACATTTTGACCGCAAACTTTGGACTTTCCAACAGGACTAACTATTTCGATTAGTTACAAACGGAATTACGAAGTTTATATACCCCCTATACTAGGTATGGTGGATGTTATAAAAATCGATAACAAATCCATGATCTGAAAATCCATTAGAAAAAGTCGACTTTGAGTTTTTACAACAAGCGAATGTCGACTTATACTCTGGGAATATTCAAAAAATATTCAAACGTCGATTGATCGAAAATCGACTTATGTATCCCCAGGCTCGTTGTTTTACAGGGACCTCGGTTCCTTATTTGGACCGTAGTCCAAGTATTGACTGTGAATTAGAGGTAGTCAAAAACTGTCGTGGTTGCTAGTTCCAACCTCCTTGTCAGTAGCGACGACCAAAAAAACTACAGTCGAAAATCCATACAGTAAGCGGCCGAACTTATGACTTGACTTGCTGGTAGAATACACACATGTGCAAAACGTTAGTCTTCCATCTCAATTGGTTCGCAAGACAGCGTGATTGCATCATACAGAGGGTTGAACAGACAGACAGACGGACATAGGCAAATTGACTTCGAATTTTACGCTGATCAAGAATATATCTACATAGTTGGGTCGAACATCAGTATTTCGAGGTGTTACAAACGGAATGGTAGTTGGCTGGAAATAGATTCATTTAAAATATTGTCTATCTGACGCAGAGTGAAAATTTTGCGCTATATCCCTGAGATGGCAGCGTTTGAGGAAATAAAAACGAAATTACTTAATAACTAATAGCCTTCTTTTTAAACTTACCTTTACGACTTTAACGTCCAAATATGTGGTTTCTGTGTCCGTAGACAAATCGAATTCGCCCAACCTTACAAAAGATCTAGAAGCAAGCGAAGAAAATAAAACAATTACAACTTTTTATACAAAAACAAAATAATAATAAATAAATAAAAGAAACTGGTATAGGAGCAGCCAAGCTGGGCCGAACTTTTTATACCCTCCACTATGCAGAAGCAACTTGAAAAATTAAAAAACAAATCCCTCGAAAAATACCGCTCAAATGAAAACTTTTATATTGGAGCTATACGAAGACATGGTGCTGTGTAAGTAATTTTTTGTGGTAGACTGTAGTAACGATTCCGAACGCAAAATACGAAATTTGACGCAATTTCGGTGTCGCGAAAATCCTGGAAATACCGAATATCTCGGGGTAGCGTAATATGGGTGCTACAACGCTACCCCTATCTCACCTATAAACATGTTGAGATGAAAAAACTGCAAACTATTTTAGACTGCTGTCATTTCTAAGCCACTCGTCCGACAGCTGTTAAAATTATTCCAGTGACAGCTTATTATATTGTTTACAAGCGTACAAGAGCATTTTGGTGAGGATTTTCCAGAAAAAAACTTATTCGTGATGGAAATCAAGCGTGATAGTGTGATTTCTTTAATATTTAGCTGGAAAACCACAAGTGGCTACCGTTATCGTGAATAAATCTTTTGTGTCTCGTACCATCGCTCGTTACCGTGATACTGGTACCATAGCCCGACGTCAAGGAAGTGGACGGAAAAAAACAGCAACATCAGCAGAAATGGTTCGAAAAGTAAAGAAGCGACTTGATCGAAACTCGCGTCGCAGTGCCCGAAAAATGGCTCGTGAGCAATATTCCATTCGGCAAATATTGAGAAATGAGCTCGGTGTAAAGCCATTGAAATTCCAAAAAGTGCAAGAACTTCCACCACAACAGAAAGAAAAAAGACTCAAAGGAGCTAAAGAGTTGCTTAACTTGGCCGAAAGTGGTGAACAGCCGAAATTGGTTTTCTCCGATGAGAAAAAATTCTTTGTTTAGCATTTTGTAAACAAACACATTCGGTTGGCCACCAGAACTCAAGCGCCGGCCATTGTAATGGTGTGGGCCGCCATAACAGCCGATGGTCGCTCTCCGCTCGTGCTAATCGACCGTGGCATCAGAATAAATGCCGAATATTATGGCGAAAATATTCTGGAGGGTATATAAAAGCCTCAGGCACGCAAACATTTTGGCCGCAGACCTTGGACTCAGCACTCGCCATCCCAAAATGGTTACAAAATGAGGTTCCACGCTTCATTTTCAGCGCACAATGGCCACCAAAATCTCCGGATACAAAGTGTCGATCACCTCAAGCAAGCGCTTTGCCGGGAATGGGCCAAAATACCGCAGAGCAACATTCGGGCAGCGTGTGACGGTTTCATTCGTGTCAAAGGTATTCTAAAATTTGATGCTATTTCCGACATTTTTGCTCTCATTCAAAAAATTTAAAAAAAAGATGTAAAAATTATAGCGCTTGACTTTGTTGCAGATTTTTTTTTATCTCACCCTGTACACAATCCTCTTCCAGGGGATAAAGTACCCAGATAGAACTCCTTTTGTTGATTTTCAGACTATTCCATTGAAAATGTGGCAAAAATCTTCAAAATACCTAATGTCGGGCGACGCCATTGTATGGGGGCTATACGATATCGTGGACCTATATAGAAAATTATCTTTCAGGGGGTAAAGTACTCACAGAGAACTCCTTATGTAGAATTTCAGACAGTGCAATGAAAAATGTGACTGAAATTATCAAAATACCGAATGTCAGGAGGTAGTGTTATATGGGGGCTATACGATATCGTGGACCTATTTAGACAGGGGGTTAGATACTCAGAAGGAACTTCTTGTGTGGATTTGAAGCCAATTCCATTGAAAAATGTCGCTAAAATCATAAAAATATCAAATATCGCCGGGCACCATTGTATGGGGGCTACACGATATCGTGGATCTATATTCGGGGTTAAACTACTCACAGAAAACTTCTTGCGTAGAATTTCAGACAATTCCTTTAAAAAATTATATAGCTTATCTTCGAACTTGACCTGCTTGCAGACAAAATACAGATCGGTACAAAATTTTAGCTTTCAATCTTTATTCGTTTTGACTCTAGCGTGATTACAACAACGGACGGACGGACGGACCGGTCTAAATCGTCTTAGAAGTGTACGCTGATCTAGAATATATATACTTTGTTGGGTCTAAAATTATTATTTCGCTGAGTTACAAACGGAGTGACGAACTTAATATACCCTCCATACTATGTATGGTGGAGGGTATAAAAACGACGTAATATGACATAAGAGATTTTTTTCCTGGAATTTTTACTATCACACCAATATGCATTTTCTTTTTGCGTAATCGAAACAAATAAATTTAATCAGCGTTTGCTCTCCTCCCTTTTGATACTCACAAATCATGCCGTATGCAGTGGGCCGCCGTTATCACATGTCGATTAGAGATTAAAGTTCCACCACATTTAAACGGTCGGGTACTGTAGGGATCATAGCCGATTAGGGCCATCCATGGCCAGGCACCGATTTGACTTTCATCGCCGCCCACAATTTTCGGTGCCGTCTGATTGACTAGACCACAGCCATCGGCTTCGCTGGGTAGTGAATGTGAATTGGAATTGGCCATTTGACGACGATTCAAATTCTTGCTGTTTGTTGTTGTAGCCTCCGAATCATTGTCGGTAGGGCAGCAGACCATGGTACTTTCATTGCCGCAACGATCATGAGATGTTCTTAGATTTGCTTTGATTTCTTCATTATTTGGATCTCTTTGCAATTGTTGTAAAAGCCGGGGGCACTCTCTCAAAGCTAAAAAGGAAGAAAAAATGAAGGAAGCAGGGTAAATAATTGGAAATGTGTTATAAAAAGCTAAACCGTATTTATACTCTAAGCCAATGGCGGTATATTTATTATATATGGACTTGCGTTATGATTATTCAAAATGTTGACCCATTACTTACACTTTTCATACCCTACACCACACTGTGGTCAGGCTTTTATGTCTTTGTGTTATAGGGAAGGAATAGTTCGACAGTTCCTTCTGAGGATTTGCATTCTGAGTCGATTTATGTATGTCCGTCCGTCCGTTTGTCAGTCTATGTTCTTTTTTTTTTGTAAAGTACACGTCGCATTTATTTTGGTCCAAGGACGAACCCTATTGAAAATGAGATAATCGGTCAAAATTTAGATATGGCTCTCATATATATATTTGCCCGATTTGCCTTTTATTGTGCCCCAAATGTGTAATATTAGCCAAAATAAAATGGAATTTTGCGCACATAACCAAATTGAACCTAGACACAAGTATGCCGAATTTGGTGGAAATCGGTTCAGATATAGCTATTCCTCCTATAAATATTCTTCATTCGATTTTTTAAATCTATCCTCCACAGCCCTAACAAGCAAACCCGTAACAACAATATTCGGAGAAATTTTTCAAATACATTTCAGAAATATTTTTGCCAGATTTTACCGAGATCGGTTCAGATTTGAATATAGCTCCAATACAGGGAGATGTGGAAAAACTGCAACCATCTTCAGACTGTTGTCATTTCTAAGCCACTCGTCCGACAGCCGTTAAAATTATTACAGTGACAGCTTAATAAATTGTTTACGAGTGTACAAAAGTATTTTGGTGAGAATTTTCCAGAAAAAAGTTATTCGTGATTGAATCCAAGCGTGATAGTGTGATTTCTTTATATTTGGCTGGAAAACCGCAAGTGGCAATCGTTAGAGAGCTCCAACATTTAACTGTGAATAAATCTTTTGTGTCTTGTACCATCGCTCGTTACCGTGATACTTGTATCGTAGCCCGACGTCAAGGAAGTGGACGAAAGAAAACAGCAACATCAGCAGAAATAGTTCAAAAAGTAAGGAAGCGACTTGATCAAAAGCCGCATCGCAGTGGCCGAAAAATGGCTCGTGAGCTGAACATATCGCAATATTCCATTCGGCAAATATTGAAAAAATGAACTCGGGGACAAGCTATTGAAATTCCAAAAAGTGCAAGAACTTACACCACAACAGAAAGAAATTAGACTCAAAAGAGCTAAAGAGTTGCTTCGCTTGGCCGAAAGTGGTGAACTGCCGAATTTGCTTTTCTCCGATGAGAAAACATTCATTGTCCAGCAGTTTGTAAACAAACAAAATGATCGTGTTTACTTGTCAAAGAGATCAGCTGAAAATTTTCACCTTCGGTTGGCCAGAACCGGACCAGAACTCGCCTGTCATGGTGATGGTGTGGGCCGCCATAATAGCCGATGGTCGTTCTCCGCTCGTATAAATCGACCGTGGCATCAGAACAAATGCCGAATATTTCGCGAAAATATTCTGGAGGGTGTAAAGCCTTGGACACGCAAACATTTTGGCCGCAGACCTTGGACATTCCAACAGGACTCAGCACGCGCCACCCAAGAATGGTAACAAAATGAGGTTCCTCGCTTCCTTTCTAGCGCACAATGGCCACAAATTTTCCGGATACCAATCCGTTGGACTATTGTGTCTGCAGTATTTTGGAAAGCAAGGTTGGTACTAAAAAATACCAAAGTGTCGATCACCTCAAGCTAGCGCTTCGCCGGGAATGGCCCAAAATACCGCAGAGCAACATTTGGGCAGGGTGCGACGGTTTCATTGGCCGTTTGAAGGTCATAATTCGTGCCAAAGGTGACCAATTCTAACAAATCTAAACTTATTCTAAAACTTAATGATTCTTCCGACATTTTTTGCTTTCATTTAATAAAAATAAACAAGTTTAAAAGCAGTAAGTTCGGCCGGCCGAACTTTGAATTCCCTCCACCATTTGGAACGAATTTGTAGATTTTCAAAAAAAAATCATTAAAAATTCTGTCAAAATCTTAAAAATACCGATCACAGACATTATATTGGGGTCTATACGACGTGGACCTACATAGGCTTTGTTTGTCATAAGCCATTACCATATTCAAATTCGAAACTTGAAATAAAAGGTGAATAATGTAACTAAAATCATCAATATACCGTATATAGGGTGGTATCGTTGTATTGAAGCTATACCAAGACCTGGACCTGCATAGACAATTTTCTGTCACAGGCTGTAGCTTCCATTACGAATTTCAAATACGATGAGTATTGTACCTAAAATCGTCAAAATACCGAATATAGGGAGGTACTGATATATAGGGTCTATACGAAGACTGGACCTGCATAGACAATTTTCTGTCACTGACTGTAGTTCCCATTACGAACACTAAATACGTAATTTGAAACTACTCATTATATGGGGGCTATACTAAGTCCTGGACCTGCATACAACAATTTTTGTCATAGGCTGTAGTACCCATTACGAACTTCAAATACGAAATAATTCCGGCAAATAATGTCACTTAAATCATCAAAATACCGAAAATAGGGAGATACCATTATATGGGGGCTATTCGAAGTTTTGTATGGTCCTGCATACAAAAATTTTTATCATAGGTTGTTGAACCCATTACGAACTTCAAACACGAAATTTGAAATAATTCCTGTAAATTATGTCGCTAAAATCATGAAAATACCGAACATCGGCAGGTTCTTTTATATGGAGGCTATACAAAAACGTTTACCGATATGGCCCTTTTACGAATTTAACCTGTCTACTGGTGAACTATGTATGCATGCAAAATTTTAGCCTTCTATCTCAATTCGTTCGAAAGATAGCGTGATTACAACAGACAGTCAGACAGACAGACAGACAGACAGACAGACAGACAGACAGACAGACAGGCGGACATCGCTAGATCGTCTTAGAATTTTACGCTGATCCAGAATATAAATAGACTTTGTAGGGTCTATTATGAACATTTCGAGGAGTTACAAACGGAATGACAAAGTTAATATACCCTCCATAAAATGGTGGAAGGTAAAGAAATTGTGACCCTTTTGTGGGCTGCCTTCCCTTTGAGGTACCAGAAGGTGTGGGCCGATATACTTCATCTTCATGCCAGATGCTACTTTTGTAGAAATATTGGGATGTGTAAATTGGAGGATAATTGGGTGCTCATTTTATTTTTTGGTTATTTGCGTTTTGGGTATTCAAATTTTTTTGCGGATTGTGGGAGAGGTACCAGAAGGTACCATTCTGTCGTCCATACCATCTTGGATTTAAATCCAGTCAACGACTTGTTTTGTCGGTCTATTTATCCAATGTAATTTACTTAGTAAAGGCTAGTTTACGTATCGTGTTAGAATCATATGTAAAGTGGCGTTTTCTAAGTTTATATTTAGCAAGTTTAAAGCATACTTTTAGGCGTTCATAAAAAATTTTAAAATATATGTATTACATGGTCTCAAAATTCTATTCCAGAGCATTTCCGTGTACATACAATCGATAAAAAATCGATGTATATATTTCGCTATATATATCCGATAAATTTACTATCGGCATCTAAGTAACGTTCAGAAGTGACCTATTCATCTATTTGTGATTTAGCCGGGTTTAAAAATATTCGTGGTTTAATGGAAAATTTCGCTTTTATTTAAGACAAATGTTATGGTCTATTTCACTCACTAAATATTATCCGATGACCATCCAAATTGGCCCTAAGCTCTAGCCCCATGCAAACTGACTTCGATTGCTCTATAATTGCGACCTGTAGAGAAACTGTAAAATCAGAAAATTTGTGGTCCATTTCAACCCCTTAAATATTATGCGCTCATCTCCAAAAGCAATAGGCTTTTATTCTGACCATAACCCCACCTCCATGCAAAATTTCGTGAGGATCGGGCCATAATTCCGACCTGTAGAGTGATTACACATTAACATGGACAGACGGACGGACATATATAGCTAGATCGACTCAGCTCGGCGAGATTGGAAGATCCATATACACTTTCCTATGTGGGAAACCAATATTTCGAGGTGTTACATAATTTTTGGCCCAATCAAACTTATAATACCCACCACACATAGTGTGGTAGGATATAAAAATACCCAACTATCGAATGTGGTCACTCTCAACATTTTAAGCTCCCGGGATGCAGATAAATATACTTATGGCTTTTACAAAACGTTACACTCTAATCAACAATTAATTACTTCGCCGTTGAATAAAACTGCATTATTAAATATTCAAAAAATCGCTACTTACGTTTACAAAGTCCGGATGTTGATGCCGTTGTTAGACACAACACATTGGGAGAATTGCTGTTCCTATTTGCAGTTTCGGTGTCCACTTTAGATGTTGACGCTTCAGTAGTCGTCGTCGAGGTTGTTGTTGTTGTAGTTGTTGTCACTCTACCATCCCTCATTTGGGTATCCGATGGTGAGCCATTGATTGGGGTCATTACCACATGTTTGCAACAAAGCTGCACAAAATATTCCATTACTAACAACAACAACGACAAACAAAAAACTACACATCTTCCATACTCACAATTGGATACTGGTCATAGGTCATGCGATTGCCACAACGTCTTTGCAATTCGGAGGAGTACTGTTTGGCCGAATTTGTGTCCAAACGTTGGAATAAAGTCAACACCTCTGGACAATATTTCAGAGAGACACACGAGCCCATATCACCCAGGGGTGTTTGGCAAAAGTTACCACCATAGCCATTGGAAGGGTTGGCGCCACCAATAAAACCCCGATGACCCCAACAAGTGTCCAGACAGCAGCAGCAGCAAAGGAAACAGGCAATAAACCAGGGAATGCAGTTCTTCAGGAACATTTCGCAGTTAATTATTTTTAATTCTTTTTTTTTTTTTCTCAAATCGTTTAACCGTTTCTCTGGTCAACCGTCAACCAACTAAATAAATTCCCAACAGCCAACTACCAATGTCGTCGAACTGGTGTCTGATGCGATTTTAACCCCGGAGAGTGATTTAATAGAAATATTGTTTTTTTATTATTTGCAAAAATCGTGTTGATTATATATTACATACGACCAACCCTCCTCCTCCTCCTCAAAACGAACTTGCTGTTTTATTTGAATTTGTTAGATTCTAGTAAAATGGCAAAAACAACAACAACAACAACAACGCTGAAACAAAATGATGCACATATGAAATGGCTAAATGTCATTATCACATAATCTCTACTTTAATGGGTTGTGCGGATTTTTTACCGGTTTTTTTTTGGTGGGTAACTTTTAATCGCTGATAACACCGTTTATATTATTATGATTTCCAGTTCAAATGTTTTAAAATAAAATACACCGAGAACAATTATCGGTTGGGGTAGGGAACAACCTTGTGACTCAAAACGGGAGTTAGATAAGATTATACTTTCGTGCACGTGTAGTACACATTTCCAGAGACAACTCTTGTGAAAAATACTCTGTACATGCTTTTGAGAGCGGTTGAGGCGCCGGGAAAATCTAGCAATCTATATTAAAACAGTAAAAAAAATAAAATCTAAAATCTAAAATCTTGAAATTTTGGGTGAGGGTCACTCTTGGTCCGAAGGGGTCAGATAAGGCTGGGTGTTTGGAAATTTGTACTAGGTCAGTACGAAAAGTATAACTAGTTAAAAAGCAGTAAATTCGGCCGGGCCGAACTTTGAATACCCTCCTACATTTGAAACGAATTTAGAAATTTTCAAAAAATAAAATTCTTAAAAAATTCTGTTAAAATTTTAAAAATACCAAATATATCCGTAAATATTGGGGTCTATACGACGTGGACCTACATAGGCATTGTTTGTCATAAGCCATTACCATATTCAAATTCGAAACTTGAAATAAACAGTGAATAATATAGCTCAAATCATCAAAATATCGTATATAGGCAGGTACCGTTATATCGGAGCTGTGCGAAGACCTGCACCTGCAAAGACAATTTTCTGTCACAGGCTATAGCATCCATTACGAACTTCAAATACCACATCTCAAAACAATTTCGATGGGTATTGTACATAAAATCAAAATACCGAATATAGGGAGGTACTGATATATGTGGGCTATATGAAAACGTGGACCTGTATAGATAATTTTCTGTCACAGACTGTAGTTCTCATAACGAACTCCAAATACGTAATTTAAGACAATTCCGACGAATAATTCCGCTAAAGTCATCAAAATACCGAATATTGGGAGGTACCGTTATATGGGGGCTATAAGAAGACGTGAACCTGCCCAAACAACTTTCTGTCTTAGGGTGTAGTATCCATTTCGAACTTCAAATACCAAATTTGAAAGAATTCCGGTGAATATTGTCTCTAAAATCATCAAAATGCCGAACATCGGGAGGTACCGTTATATAGGGGCTATAAGAAGCCGTGGACCTGCACAGACAGTTTTCTGTCTTGGGATGTAGTATCCATTTCGAACTTCAAATACCAAATTTGAAACAATTCCGGTGAATATTGTCGCTAAAATCATCAAAATACCGAATATCGGGAGGTACCGTTATATGGGGGATATACGAAGATGTGAACATGCACAGACAATTTTCTGTCTTAGGGTGTAGTACCGATTTCGAACTTCAAATACCAAATTTGAAACAATTCCGGTAAATAATGTCGCTAAAATCATCAAAATACCGAATATCGGGAGGTACCGTTATATAGGGGCTATAAGAAGCCGTGGACCTGCACAAACAATTTTCTGCCTTGGGATGTAGTATCCATTTCGAACTTCAAATAGCAAATTTGAAACAATTCCGGTATTGTTATTGTGTTACAAACGGAATGGCAAAGTTAATATACCCTCCATAGTATGGTGGAGGGTATAAAAATATACTAAATATGGAACCCTGTGTATTTTATGAAGCAGTACAGCTAGAACTCCGAAATTTGGTATAAGGTTCACTGATGGAGTGAGTGATTGATGTACCAAAGGGATTTTGGAAATTTGCATTATACGTGTACGAAAAGTACATACAATGCAATAGTAATCTTTGTTCCAAATTTTAGGAATCCAACCCTATTGGTTTTCCCAAAATTTAAATTGAACCAAATTTAGTACCATTTAGAAAACATAAGTACGAACGTTCAAAACTACCTACATTTCTCAGTCCTAGAATGCAATGCTAATATTATTTCAAAATGTCAGAATTATAACTCTATCGGATCATCACAATTCCAATTTGTACCAAATTTTGTAAATCATACATTCCAATAGAAATCTTATTTCCAAATTTCAGGATTACAACTCTATTGGAACTCCCAAAAGTTTAATTGTACCAAATTTAGTACCATCTAGTAGACATAAGTAGGAATTTCCAAGACTACATACAGTCCTTAGTACTAAAATGCAATACTAATATTATTTCAAAATTTCAGAATTCTAGCTCTATCGGTTCACCAAAATCGAAATTGTACTAAATTTAGTACATTTAGTACTTTTCTTGAACATAAGTACAAATTTCGAAATCTTCCTCCATATCCCAATCCTATACTCCGCCTATAACGTTTATCTCAAATTTCAGGATTCCAGCTCCATCCGTTCCTCCAAATTTAAATTGTACTAAATTTTAGTACCGTCTAGTACTTTTCGTGTATATGAGAACACATTTCCAAAACTACCTCCTTACATCGACCCTACTCCTCAACTTTGATTGTCATTCCAAATTTCAAGTTTTTAGTTCTAACCATTGACATGATACGAAATGGTACCAAATGTTGTACATTTTAGTACTTTTCGTACACTTAAAGTGCGAATTTCCGAAAAACCCTGTAGTACATGTGACATACACTTTATTAGTGACCCTCATTCCAAATTTGATAGTTCTAGATCTACTGCTTCCGCTAATACAAAGGTAACCATATTTAGTACCTTTTAAAACTTTTCGTACCTATAACCGTACTTGAAATTTTAACGAGGGCCAGTCTTGTTGCGTAGGCGTGTGATAAGGCTGGGTTTTTGGAAATTAGTACTAAAAGGGTACGCAAAGTACTAAGGGGGAAAACGGAATGAACTAGAATTCGAAAATTTGGAATGAGAGTCACTGCTGGAGAGCAGGATAGATGTACCAATGGGTTTTTGGAAATTCGAACTTTGAAGTTACTCCTAATAAAAATAGTACGATTTGGTACTATGTGAACGGATAAAGCTAAAAACTTGAAATTTGGTATGCATGGAGGGGGTTTGGAAATGTGTACTAAGAGTGCGAACTGTACTAAATGGTACTTATGAAGCTGGAATTTTGTAATGGGGCCTCTGTTGGTGTTGGGTTTGTGATAACGAGGTGGTTTTAGAAATATGTACTTCAAATAAACGAAAAATACTAAATAGTACTATATTTGGTACAATATTTGGTTTGAAATTTTGTATTAAGGTCGCTGTTCATCTGTAGACTTGACGTATGGAAATGTGTACTATAATTGTACGAAAAAAACTAAACTGTACTAAGTTTGGTATTGGGTGAAGGATCTGGTATCTTGGATTGAGATATTTAGGTGGGTTTTGGAAATGTATACTATAATTGTATGACAAGTATTAATTGGTACTAAATTTGGTATTGGGTGAAGGAATAGATGTGAAATCCTCAAATTTGATATTAAGGTCTTGATTTGATTTTGAGCTCTATGTTGGTATCTGGGATTGAGATATTCATGTTGGTTGTACGAAATGTACGAAAAGTACCAAATGGTACTAAATTTGGTTGTGGTTGAAGGGATAGAGATAAAATTCTGTAATGTCATATAACTGTTGGTTTCTAGGTTTAAGATATGGAACAGTTTTTCAAATGAGTACTTTAATTAAACGAAAAGTACTAAATGTTACTAAATTTGGTATTGATTGAATTTATAGAGCTGGAATCCCGAAATTTGATATTAAAGTCTATGGTGTTGAGATCAGGTGAAGGTTTTGCAAATGTGTACTATTATTGATCGAAAAGTACTAAATGGTACTAATTTTGAATCGCATTCCGTATATGGGATGGAAAGATGTAGATTGTTTTGGATATCCGTACTTAAAGTTATAAAATTGACGAATTGGGTGAAGAGATAGAGCTGATATCCCGAAATTTAAATAAAACAAGTTAAAAAGCAGTAAGTTTGGCCGGACCGAACTTTGAATGCCCTCCACTATTTTGAAGGAATTTGGAAATTTTCAAAAACAAAAAAAAAAATCCGTTAAAAAAGTTTTGGTAAAATCTTAAAAATACGGCCGTTATATTGTCATAAGCCATTGTCATAAGCCATTACCTAATTAAGCTTGTAGTACGAACTTTAAGCACGACATCTCAAACAATTTCGGTGAGTATTGTACCCAAAATCGTCAAAATACCGAATATAGGGAGGTACTGATATATAGGACCTATACGAAGTCCTGGACCTGCAAAGACAATTTTCTTTCACAGACTGTAGTATCTATTACGAACTTCAAATGCCAAATTTGAAACAATTTCGGTGAAAAATGTCGCTAAAATCATCAAAATACCAAATATAGGGAGGTACAGTTATATTGGGGCTATACGAAGACGTGGACCAGCACATACAATTTTTTGTCTTAGGCTGAAGTATCCATTACAAACTTCAAATACCAAATTTGAAAGAATTCTGATGAAAATTGTCGCTAAAATCATCAAAATACCGAATATCGGGAGGTACCGTTATATGGGGGCTATACCAAAACGTGGATCACATGGCCCATTTTCAATACCAAAACTCCTTAAACATAATATACTTTTGAGTAAAATGTTATCAATCTACTTCAATTTTTTCTAGCGTGACTACAACAGGCAGACAGACAGACAGGCAGAGGGGCATTGCTAAATCGACATAGAATTTTACGCTCATCCAGAATACATATACTTTGTTGGGTCTATTATGCGTATTTCGAGGAGTTACAAACGGAATGACAACATTAGAATAGTGGAGGATACAAGAATCTACTAGTTTTGCAATTTTCTTCGATATCACAAAGGGAAAATCGGTTAACGTAGTTAAAACGTGGACATTCTTGCAATCCTGGAACAGACCAATAGTGTGTAATCGGGACTTCACCTATAACTTTTTTCCGGCCGAATTTAAAAAAGTAAAGTTTATTTGCCAACTGCTGCGAATTTTCCAAATCCCCAGAACAAAAAAAAAACAACAACCACAACTTCATAAATGTCAATATTAATTACATTTATTTGAATACACGTGTGGGCTTCTTCTCTCTCTCGCTCTCTTTCCCTCTCTAAAATTTAGATCATACTTTGTTTTATCCATGGCATGTAGACAGCAACTCTTGTGTAGACTCCGGGAAAGCCAGTGCGCGCACATTCGTAGCCATACGAAACGGTGCCCAGCAAAAAGTAACGATACGAAGAGCCAACCAACTGTAAAGAGACATGAAACAACGAATTACTATCAAATTTTCCCAAACATGAATCGGATGATTCATTGCTGAATTTGAGCAACTCCATGCAGCATCAATGTATGGAGATGCTCTCAAACATGTGTTTGGGTGTTTGGGTGTGTGTGTGTTCATACAAACCTGTGGCATCATCAACGGACCGCCGGAATCCCCCTGACAAGCATCCACATGGGAATTTCCAGCACAAATAACCTAGAAAAAGAAATCAAAATTATGGCATGTGTTTGTTGTCGTTGCTGTGCTTCTGAATGGCAAACCTTATCGCTGAACTGCACGAAATTAAAAATGGTGCGATAACTTTGCTCACACGACTGTCGGCTCACAATTGGCACTTGAACATCCATCAGAACGTTGGAGGTAATGCCCTGGTGTTTATTTGCACCCCAACCGGCAACAAATGGATTCATGCCAACAAAATCTTGAGTGAGAAATGCTGAAGATTCCGGCAAGCAAATGGGTGCTATGTAGTCTAAATGGAAGAGGAGAGGGGAGAATGGGTGATTATTTTTAAGTTTTGGTGTATGTATATTCGCTTTCTTTGATCGTTGCGTTTTTCAAAATCTCGAACCCCCTGTGGGAAGGTGCCAATAGAAATTGTCCGATCTATACCATTTTTATACCCTCCACGATTCTATGGAGGGTATATTAACTTTGTCATTCCGTTTGTAACTCCTCGAAATATTCATAATAGACCCTACAAAGTATATATATTCTGGATCAGCGTAAAATTCTAAGACGATCTAGCGATGGTCTGTCTGTCTGTCCGTCTGTCTGTTGTAATCACGCTATCTTTTGAACGAATTGAGATAGAAGGCTAAAATTTTGCATGAATGCATAGTTTACCAGTAGGTAGGTTAAGTTCGTAAATGGGCCATATCGGTCCACGTTTTCGTATAGCCCCCATATAACGACACCTCCCGATATTCAGTATTTTGATGATTTTAGCGACATTATTTACCGGAATTATTTCAAATTTCGTATTTTAGGTTCGTAATAGGTACTACAGCCTATGACAAAAATTTTGGTATGCAGGTCCAAGTCTTCCTATAGCCCCCATATAACGGTACCTTCCGATATTCGGTATTTTCATGATTTTAGCGACATTATTCACCGGAATCGTTTTAAATTTCGTACTGGAAGATTCTAATGGGTACTACAACCTATGGCAAAAAATTTCGTATGCAGGTGTGCGTCTTCGTATAGTCCCCATATAACGGTTTTCATTTAAGTGTAGTTTTCAGATTTTTTTATACCCTCAGCCATATGGCTACAGAGGGTATATATCATTTGATACGGTCAAAACGTGCCTAGTCGAAATAACGGTTTTAGACCCTAGGTCTCTTTCGACAAATCCGTTTCAGAACATTTGGAGTCGATCTAGCGATGTCCGTCCGTCCGTCTGTCTGTCTGTCGCAAGATAACTCTCGAAGGGAGTATCCGATTTGGTCCAAACTTGGTACATCGTAATATTTTTGTCAAACTTAGATCGAGTTCGGAAATGGGCAATATCGGTCCACTTCTTCTGGTACCTCCCCCACAAAAGTTCGAAATTTTCAAAAAAATTAGTTTTTGCACATAGAGAAACGGTAATCCGATTTTGCTCCAACTTTGCAAATCTTAATATTTGCGTCAGTGCTAGGTCAAGTGTGAAAATGGACAATATCGGTCCACTCCATCAAGTACCTCCCCCACAAATGGTCAAAATTTTGAATAATTACATCTCTTGTAAAATGTGATATAAGAGTCCGGTTGTCTTCAAATTCAATCACACATTCCAATATTTAATGTAACCCATGGTCTGGTGTTAAGATGGAATATATCGGTCCACTCCTTCTGGTACCTCCCACACAAATGATCGAGATTTTCAAAAAAATATAATCGCTCACAGAAAGAGAATCGATAATCCGATTTTGTTCCAACTTTGCAAATCCTGATATTTACGTCAGTTCTAGATCAGGTGCAAAAATGGATAATATCGGTTCACTCCATCAAGTACCTCCCCCACAAAAGGTCGAAATTTTGAATATCCATCAAGCTCTTAAAACACTAAATTAACATCCGATTCCATTCAGAATTAGCACGTCTCAATATTTTTATAAACGCAAGATCTTTTATAAAGATGGTAGAAATCGGACCATTGGTTCTGGTACCTCCCACACAAAGGATGACTGTTTTGAATAATCAAAACGAGGAAAGAATCCGAAATAAACATCCGGTTCTCTTCATATTACACACGTCCCATTATTTCTACTAACTCAAGATCTGGTGTGAAGATGGGATATATCGGTCCACTCCTTCTGGTACCTCCCCCACAAAGGAAAATTTTGAGTATCCACGAAGCTCATAAAACGCAAAATTAACATCCGATTTTATTCAGACTTGGAGCTTCTCAATATTTTCATCAACACAAGATCTGCAACTTGTAATTGTCATAACTTACGAAACAAGTCGGTGATTCTTAACAACTTTGCTGTATCTGAATATTTCTCTTAACCAGTATTCTGGTATGAATATGTAATTTGTCGGAATTTATGATTTCGCATAAAATTGGATACGAATGTTCAATTTCCTTCAAATTTTGCACATACCAATATATTTTATCTGTATTAGATGAAGTATACTTCGGTCCGCTATATCTGTTACCTGACGCATATTTCCGAAAATGTGCACCTATCTCATATAAAGTACAAGAAGTAGGCGATATAGTCCAAATCTGTCACGTTCATAACTCAAGGCTGGGGGTATACATCTGTCGGCAAAACCGAATGATACTATTTTACTTGTTTTCAAGTTCCTTCGAAATGGTGGAGGGTATTAAAAGTTCGGTCCGGTTTTAGGTTTTTTTACTTGCTACAACAGATATTGTGTTGATGAAAATATTGAGATTTAGCAAGACTGAATGGAATCGGATATTAATTTTACGTTTCACGTGAGTCTCACGCATATTCAAAATTTTGACCCTTTGTGGGGATGGTACCAGAAGGAGTGGTCCGATATATTCCATCTTCACAGCAGATATAGTTTTAGTAGAAATAATTGGATGTGTGAAATATAAAGAGAACCGGATGCTTACTTTGGATTTTATTATCGTTTTGGCTATTCAAAACATTGACCCTTTGTGGGGAGGGGGAGGAATGGTCCAATCTCTACCATCTTCATGATCTGCAACGTTTTTATAGAAATATTGAGATGTGCCAAGTCCGAATGGAATCGGATATTACTTTCACGTTTTATGAGCCTCATGGATATTCAAAACGTTGATCCTTTGTGGTAGAGGTACCAGAAGGAGTGGACCCATCTTCACAGCAGATCTTGTGTTAGTGTAATTAATGGTATGTGTGAAATATAAAGAAAAGTGGATGCTTATATCGGATTTTATAATCCTTTTCGTTAATCAAATTGTTGACCCCTTGTGGGGGAGGTACCAGAAGGAGTTTACCAATATATTCCATCTTAAACCAAATCTTGGGTTGAGGAAAATATTGTAATGCGTGTGAATTGAATGCAATCGGACTATTACATGACATTTTATAAGAGTTATAATTATTCAACATTTTGACGCTTTGTGGGGGAAGTACTTAATGGAGTGTACCGATATTGTCCATTTTCGCATCTGACCGAGAACAGATGCAAAGGTTATGATATGCAAAGTTGGAGCAAAATTGGATTTACCTTTCTCTTTCTGTGTAGTAATTGAAAATGTTGACCGTTTGTGGGGATGGTACCAGTAGAAGCGGACCGATATTGCCTATCTTCGAACTCGATTTAAGTTTGATAATAAAAATAGGATATACCAAGTTTGGATCAAATCGGATACGCCCTTCGAGAGTTATCGTGTGCACCAGCCAGACAAACTGACGGACGGTCGGTCGGACATAGCTAGATCAACTGAATCGGATTTGTCAAAAGATACCTAGGGTTTGAAACCGTTATATCGATGAGCCACGTTTTGACCGTATCAAATGATATATACCCTCTCTAGCCATAAGGCTGAAGATATAAAAATTCCGTCTATGTTGATGAACTAGATATAGAGTCTTAAGTCTTGGAACTTTTCTGGATGCTGTGGAACTGCAGGAGTTACTATAGTTTATTGACAGAGACCAATAAAATAAAGATGCCCAATGAAGAATTCCTTTGCAAAATCTGCTAAAGGCAGAAAACACTAAAAGGTCCCCTATTCACAGAAGACCCTCTAGCGATTTCCTATACCCTGAAGACTTTCCTGATTGATTTTTCGATTCGTTTTCCTAATACCTCATGAAAGCATTATATTTTATAAAAAAAAAACCCAGAAGATTTTCTAATTATATCTATAACGCTCAGACGAAATTGCTGAAGTTAGTATCTTAAAATTTTGCACTAGAGTTTGTCTTGGTGCGTAAGGGTGTTGTAAATATGGACTTTTGTAAATGTGGATACGAAAAGTACTTAAATATACTACAAACGGAATGAGCTGGAGTTCTGAAATTTGGAATGAGAGTCACAGATAGAGTGCTGGATAGATGTACAAAAGGGTTTTTAGAAATTCGAACTTTAAGGTTTCGAAAAGATACAAAATCGTGCCATTTGGTGTTTTGTGAACACTTAAAATTTGGTATGAGAATCAAGGTTGGAAATGTGGTGTTAGAAATGGGTACTAAGTATGGGAACTGTACTAAATTGTAATAAATTTGCAACAGTTTGGTTTAGGATGAACGGATGAAGCTCGAATTTTGAAATTTTGTATTTGGCCCAAATTGGTGGCAATTTTGTGATAAAGAGGTGGTTTTGGAACTGTGTACTACAAGTTCACCAAAAGTACTAAATAGTACTGTATTTGGTAAAATTTGGTATTGGGTAAACAGAGATGCTCGAATTTTTGTATTAAAGTCTCTGTTCATGTGTAGCCTTGGTATATGTAATAGTTTTTGGCAGTGTGTATTATAATTGAGTACTAAATGGTAATAAATTTGGTCTTGATTGAAGGTATAGAGATAGAAATATGCAATTTGATATTAAAACAAGTTAAAAAGTATCAGTCGGTATTGCCGCCAGAGATATACCCTCAGCCTATGTTCGATTATCTAAATATATTTTGACTAGTGTTAAGGTTATTCAAACGTTTGACCCTCTATGGAGCAGATCCCGAAGGAATGGGCCAAAAGATGATATAAATATTTCGACAGATGTGCCAAGTCTAAATGGAATCGGATGTTAATTTGGCGATTTATGAGCTTTATGGGTACTCAAAATTTCAATATTTTGTGGGGGAGGTACTTGATGGAGTGGACCGATATTGTCAATTTTCACACCTGTCCTAGCACTGACGGAAAATATTAGGATTCGCAAAGTCGGAGCAAATTCGGATTAGCCTTTCTTTTTCTGTGCAAAAAATTTGTTTTTTTTTTTTTTTGAAAATTTCGACCTTTTGTGGGGGAGGTACCAGAAGGAGTGGGCCGATATTGTTCATCTTAACACAACACCTTGGGTTCATATAAATATTGGGATGTGTGAAATTTGAAGACAGTCGGATTCTTACATAACATTTTATGAGAGTTGTAATTATTCAAAATTTTGACCATTTGTGGGGGAGGTATTTGATGGAGTGGACCGATATAGCCCATTTTCACACCTGACCTAGCACTGACGCAAATATTAGGATTTGCAAAGTTGGAGCAAATTTGGATTATCCTTTTTCTTCCTGTGCAAAAAATATATTTTTTGAAAATTTCGACCTTTTGTGGGGGAGGTACCAGAAGGAGTGGACCGATATTGTTCATCTTAACACCAGACCTTGGGTTAATATAAATATTGGGATGTGTGAAATTTGAAGACAATCGGACTCTTACATAACATTTTATGAGAGTTATAATTATTCAAAATTTTGACCATTTGTGGGGGAGGTACTTGATGGAGTGGACCGATATTGCCCATTTTCACACCTGACCTAGCACTGACGCAAATATTAGGATTTGCAAAGTTGGAGCAAATTCAGATTATCCTTTCTCTTCCTGTGCAAAAAATATATTTTTTGAAAATTTCGACCTTTTGTGGGGGAGGTACCAGAAGGAGTGGACCGATATTGCCCATCTCCGAACTCGATCTAAGTTTGACAAAAATATTACGTTGTAGCCAATTTGGACCAAATCGGATACTCCCTTCGAGAGTTATCGTGCGCACCAGCCAGCCAGACAGACAGACAGACAGACGGACGGACGGACGGACGGACGGACATCGCTAGATCGACTCCAAATGTTCTGAAACGGATTTGGTCCAAAGAGACCTAGGGTCTAAAACCGTTATTTCGACTAGGCACGTTTTGGCCGTATCAAATGATATATACCCTCTGTAGCCATATGGCTGAGGGTATAATTACTGATTATATCTATGCTTGAGATTTTGTCTTGATTGAAGGTATAGAGATAGAAATGTGAAATTTGATATTAAAATTACTGCTTATATCTATGCTTGAGATTTGGCGGTCATTTGGGAATCCGTTCTATATTTGTATAAAAAGTAGCAAATTTGATATTGGGTGAAGGTAGAGCTAAAATCCTGAAATTTGATATTGAGGTTTCCGTTGGTATTTTGATTTGAGATATGGATCTAGTTTTGAAAATGTGTACAGTAATTGTACAAAAAGTACTATATTTGATATTGGGTGCGGGAATAGATCTGAAATCTTGAAATTTTATATGAATCTCACTGTTGGTGTTTGTGGTTGAGAGAAGTAGCTGGTTTTGGATATGCGTACTATAATTGTACTGAATGGTACTAAATTTGGTAATGTTTTTAGATAAGGAAGTGTATTTGGAAATGTGTACGAAAGTACTAAATGATACTAATTTTGGTATAAAGTATAGGAAAAGACCTAGTGCGAATAGTAGTAAATTGTACTACATTTTGTATAAAGTGTAGGAATGGAGATGAATTTATGAAGTTTTCTAAAAGGGTCACTGTGGGTTTGACAATGGACATACATAATTTGGTATAAAGTTTATGAATAAGACTAAAACTATAAATATTTTGCATGAGGACATAAATATTTCCCATTTCTCCTACATTATAGCCGGCATTGACTAGTATATATACAACTAGTAAGTGTCCGCAACTTTTTCGGAGAAAATACCAACATATACTTTTAGAAACTTTTTACCTTTTGCATCAAAAAGTCTTCAAAATCGTTAATTTTGAAGTTTAACGAGGAGGATGTTAGTAAAACTATTGCACAGTGAAACCTCATCCAATTTATATTTCCAAAACTATATTAACGTTTCCATATGTAAGCCCTATATATCAACAGTAATATCAATATCAAATTTTGAGAAAATATCAGTTCTATCCCTTGACCCTGAACAAGTTAGTACTTTTGTAGCACACATTTGCAAAACCACCACCATGTTATAGAACACATGCCCAAAAATCACCTGAATATCTCAACTCCAGACTAACATTACTAACATAGACTATTATATAAAATTTGAGGATTCCAGCCCTATCTCTTCACCCAATACCAAATTTATTACCATTTAGTAATGTTTTGAACAAATATAGGACGGATTTCCAAACCACAGCCAAATCTCAAACACAGTTAATCTAAATATTGTTAATCTAAATATCAAATTTCAGAGATTTATCTCTATCCCTACACTCAATACCAAATATAGTACCTTTCAGTACTTTTCGTACAAGTATAGTACACACTTCCAAAACCACTTCCATATTTCCAGGCTACACATAAATACCGACCCTAATACTTAATTTCAAACTGCAAGCACTATCTGTTCACCCAATACCGAATTGTACCAAATATAGTACTATTTAGTACTTTCCGTGCACTTGTAGTACACATTTCCGAAACCACCTCCATATGTCCAAGCTACACATGAACAGCGACCCCAATACCAAATTAAAAGCACTGGTCACTCAATACAAACATGTATCATTCATAGTACTATTTAGTACTTTTCGTTGCACTTGTAGTACATTTTCAAAATCACCTTTTTATCACAAACCTACGACCAACAGGCATCCCAATACAACATTTCAAAATTCAAGTTTCAACCGTTCACTCTAAATCTATCTGTCTATCCATCATTTAGTACAATTCCACGTTTAGCTCACATTTCCAAAACCACCTTCATATATCAACTAACCTTGAAACTCATACCAAATTGTAAGTTTTTAGCTCGATCCGTTCACATTTTGTTCATCTATCCTGCATTTTGTTCATCTATCCTGCACTCTATCCCAGAATCCCAACTTACTTGTCATCACAACATTGGGCGCCACTTCAATCAGTGCAATATCATTTGCTATAGTTCTCAAATCGAATTCCTCATGGACTTTAGTGCGTTTGATGCTATAATCAACGGCATTAGCTTCCGCTGGATTGGAAAGATCGTGGGCGCCCAAGCGGACCAATATTAAATTCGTATTTATGCAATGGGCCGAGGTGAGAACGTATTTCGAAGATACCAAACTGCCGCCACATAAATATTTCATTGTACCGGGAGAGAGCTCATCACGATAGCCCAAGGCTGCCATCCAGGGATAGGCTCCTGCAAAACAAAAAAAAAAATGAATGAAATATATATAAACCCTTTTGCAGGGGTTTTAAAGCAATAACTAACCTCTCTTGGCTTCCGTTCCACCCACAACACGATTTGTATTTCCTCGACTAATGCCACAGGTTTCAACAGCAGCTTGTGTTGGCGGTGCCTGGGTAGTGGTGAGTACAATTGCTCCACCAGGCTGTGGTATCGGTTGATAGACATTCTGTCCTGGTGCTGCTGTGGTGGATGTTGTCAGAATTATTGGTCCCACCGGTTGCGGTATGGGCTGATACACATTTGTACCCCCATTATTTGCAGGTGGCATTGGCTGATACACCGTGGACGGTGGAGTTGGGGCTGCTGGTGGCATTGTATTAACAGAATTTTGCCCTGGTGTTTGGAAAACAAAGGGATTTGTATTTGAAGTACCGGGATAGACCATTGGAGGTGTTGCAGTTGTTGAAGTCTGAATGTTTGAATTGTAATTTGCCAGAGGTGCAAACAGAAATACATTAGCGGGTGGAGTTGTCGTGGATGTTGTCCCGAAAAGCATCATAATTGGTGATTTGACAGGTGTTGGTGTTGTACGAGGTGTTCCACAGCAAATCTGAATAGAAATGGGAATGTGAAAAAATATACATTGAACTAAAGGCCTATCACTTATAGCTGTTGCTACTTCCACTTTAGGACTTTTATTTCTGTCAACCCTGAGTGGTCTGTGAAATTTGGAGAGCATGGAACTCTTATTTCACATTTTATATGAGAGACGATTATTCAAAATTTTGACGCTTTGTTGGGGAGGTCCCTGAAGGAGTGAACAGATACAGGGAGAGATGAAGAAACTCCAACCAACTTCAGACTGCTGTCATTTCAAAGCCAATCGTCCGACAGTTGTTTCAATTATTCCAGTGACAACTCATTATATTGTTTACAAGCGTACAAAAGCATTTTGGTGAGAATTTTCCCAGAAAAAAAGTTATGCGTGATGGAATTCAAGCGTGATAGTGTGATTTCTTTATATTTGGCTGGAAAACCAAAAGTGGCTATCGTCAGAGCACTCCAGCATTCAAATGTAAATAAATCTTTTGGGTCTCGTACCACTGCTCGTTACCGATACTGCGATACTGGTAGCATAGCCCGACGCCAAGGAAGTGGTCGGAAGAAAACAGCAACATCAGCAGAAATGGTTCGAAAAGTAAAGAAGAGGCTTGCTCGAAATACGCGTCGCAGAGGCCGAAAAATGGTTAGTGAGCTGAACATATCGCAATATTTTCTTCGGCAAATATTGAAAAATGAGCTCGGGGTAAAGCCATTGAAATTCCAAAAAGTGCAAGAACTTACACCGCAACAGAAAAAAAGACTCAAAAGAGCTAAAGAGTTGCTTTGCTTGGCCGAAAGTGGTGAACTGCCGAATTTGGTTTTCTCCGATCAGAAAACATTCGTTGTCCAGCAGTTTGTAAACAAACAAAATGATCGTGTTTACCTGCCAAAGAGGTCAGCTGAAACTGTGCACCTTCGGTTGCCACCAGAACTCAAGCGCAGCCCATGGCGATGGTATGGGCCGCCATAACAGCCGATTGTCGCTTTTCGCTCGTATTAATCGTCCGTGAAATCAGAATAAATGCCGAATATTATCGCGAAAATATTCTGGAGGGTGTATTAAAGCATTGGGCACGCAAACATTTTGGGCGCAGATCTTGGGCATTCCAACAGGACTCAGCACCATCGCACTCAGTAATCGCCACCCAAGAATGGTAACAAAATGAGGTTCCTAGCTTCAAAAAAAAATCTCCGGATACCAATCCGTTGGACTATTGTGTCTAGAGTATTTTGGAAAGCAAGGTTGGCATTAAAAAATACCAAGGTGTCGATCACCTCAAGCAAGCGCTTCGCCGGGGATGGGCCAAAATATCGCAGAGCAACATTCGGCCAGCGTGTGACGGTCTCATTGACCGTTTGAAGGCCATAATTCGTGCCAAGGTGACCAATTTGAGCAAATCTTATTCTAAAATTTGATGCTATTTCCGACATTTTATGCTTTCGTTCAATAAAATTTTAAAAAATGTAAAAATTATGGCGTTTTGCAGTTTTCGTATCTCACTCTTTGTTGCATTTTTTTCATCTCACCCTGTATATTCATGATCAGGATAAAATTCTAAGTCGATTTAGCGATGTCCGTCTGCTTGTCTGTCTGTCTTTTGGAATCACGATATAGCCCACATTATTTGACGCAGAGCTTCAAAATTTGGCAGAACAATTTGTATTGTATCTAGGATGGCTGGTATTGAAAATGACGGTCCACGTTTTGTTATAGCCCCCATATAACGATACCTCCTGATATTCAGTATTTTAATGATTTTATAACATTTTTCCTCGGATTTGCATAAAAATTAGTATTTGTAATTCGTAATGATTTCTAGCGTCCGTGCCGGAACATAGTGTATACAGGTTCAAGTTTTGGTATATCCCCTTATAACGGTACCTCCCGATTTTCGGCGTTTTGATGATTTTTGACACATTTTCAACGGTTTTGTCCAAAAATTGGTATTTGTAGTCCGTAATATATTTTCGCTCCTATGGCGGAACATAGTATGTATACGTCCACGTTTTCGTATAGCCCCCACATCATGGTACCTCCCCATATTCAGTCTTTTGATTAATTTTGCCACCTTTTTTTTTACGGTTTTTCCTAAAAATTGATATTTGAAGTTCATAATGAGTTCTAGCTCCGGTGGCAGAATATTGAATATTTAGGTCCACGTTTTCCTATAGCGCACATATAACGATACCCATCGATATTCGATATTTTGATAATCCTAGTCACAATTTACCCAAGAAATTGTTTCAAATTTGGTAGATGAGAATCCTTGAAGTATAAAATGGTCTATAGAGGTTTCCGATTTGGTATGGCCCCCAAATAATGGCCTCACCCACATTATGGTTTTTTGAAAAATTTAACACCATTATCCAAACGGTCTTATTATTATTATTTGTAGTTTAGAGTAGAACACGTTTGAATTCAGATACCTTTCTACAAAAATGTTTTCTTTGCCCAAAGGTTCGGTCCGGCCTAATTTAATGTTTTTTTACTTGTTTTCAATTCCCTTGAAAATTCCCCCCATTTCGACTTACCATAAAATGCATGCCATTAAAACCACAAATGGAATTACTCATAAAAGTTTGGAAATCTGTTGCATACGATGTCTTGCGAACTTCATCGTAATATTCCTGAACCATATCCGGACACTTGGCAAGCGTAACACATTTGCCGGCACGTAAACGGGAATCAACACAATCCTGGGCTAAAAATAAATAAATTTAGGCAAAACTCAAATTATATTCCCGAAAAAAGTTGGTTTCAATATCCCCACCTAGATTTGGAGGCTTTGCCACCTTGGTGGGATTTTTGGTAGAGTTTTCTATGATTTCTTCACGATTTAAGTTCATTTCTTCACGATTTGATGGTTGGCCCAATAAAAGAGCCATTAATGACATGAGATGTAAATACATGGGAGAGCTAATGGCGATGATGATCAATAATTTACACAACTCAATTGAGATTTAATTTTTTTAAAGGACTAGTCTTTTATTTAAATTATTTTTTTTATAAAATTTCTTTTAATAAATAACGAGTTTTTTATTTCGACAATAAAACACTGCACATTTTTTTTTCTGTTGGATCCTTAATTTTCAACATAACGCCGTCTTCGCCTTTTGCTATTTGCCGCTGGCAAATGGGAAAATATCATCATTTCCGAACCGGAACCCGCACTCGAAGTTTGTGCCTTTGCCGCTGCTGCTGCTGATCGTAACTCTAAACTTTGTGTGTCCAACATTTCCACCAAATGTTCACTTGTCATCGGCTGACCGGATGTTTGTTGTTCATTCATTTGTTGTTGTAGAGCCATTAATTGGTCACTGGTCATTAACTGGTCGGTCATCAAGGTTTGGGTTGGTTGCTGACTGGCGGCAGCATTGCTGGAATGACTGATGGTCAGTTGACTCATCATGACTGGCTGACTGGCTGGTGCAATGGGTTGGCTCATCATGGCCATTTGTTGTTGTTGCTGCTGCTGCTGCTGCTGCTGCTGCTGCTGTTGGGCAGACATTTGTTGTCGTGGATCTATACAAGGACAATAGGGGATGGGCCGATCTCCATTCGCCAAACATACCAAAGGCACGGCAGGACATGGTGGCAGTGTGGTGACAGGTGGCATTGCAGATGTCGGTGGTGTTGGCTGATATGTGGGAATGGTGGTGTAGGGTGGTATAAATGTAGGTGGTATTGGTGACCCCGGTGGCGGTGGATACACCGGACAAATTCCCTTGATGTTGGCCAAATACGAAAGAAATGGCCAGAAATAGATTTTCAAACAGAAATCGTCAAACAGCATTTTGGCACTGAAATTAAATGTGAACTCCATGTTGATGCTTCACCACGGCAATGGTCACTCGTTGGCTCGCCCGCTAGTTGTCACGTATTTGATGGTGAGGCGTTTGATTTACAACTAAGCCTTGAACTGGAGCCGAACAATTGAAATGAATGTGGCGCTGAATGGATGACAGCTGTAATTATGAATTGAATAACGAAGCGGTAGAACGACCGAACTAAAATTGGACAATTGACACAATTCTAAGTCGAAATAGCAATTATTAAAACGCACTGGAAAATGCATAATTACGCTTACATAAATATATTCGCTCGCCTACCACAACACCGCCATGGGCGTAAATTGAACACTTTCTATGACCCCAAAGGTGAGAGCAATTTTAATTATTTATTTCCCACTGGAATAAATTTTAAAATTATTTAATTGCCGTTTTAGGTATTCTAAAAAGCAAGATCAGCCAAGGGATGCATTGAATACCCAATCTACATATCTCGTATCTACGCCTCTGACTTTTTTTTTTGAAAAATTGGTGTTTTTGTGTTTTCACTTTCAGTTGTTTTAACTTTTTGCAATCCATATAATTTATAATTATTTCACGCTTTATAACAATTTTTTTTATTCTTTAACAATTTCTTAACAATTGAGTGGGTCGTAAATAAATATGTATGTATGTGTCGGCAATAATATTTTACACAAATCTCGCCCAACATTCAATCTATTTTCAAATATTCGAAGTATTTCACGACGCCACACACATCGACAAAAACCCCACAATGGCATACATACATATGTATGTACTTGTCCCAGCGAACCGAACTGCTCAAGTTCCTTCTAACTTGAAATCGAAAATCGGATGAAACTTCCATTATCGGATGCGTATTCGGTCCGACTTCTGACCGAAAGTTATAGAGAATGGTTGACGTGTTGTCGGACCAAAGGGCCGGATGAAAGTCTAAAGTTTAAGCCGACTTTCGAACCGAATTCGCAAGAATATTCGGAAGGGAAATTAGAGTTGTCGGACCGAACTGGAAAGTAAAATCGTACGCATTTCTGATGTTTTGCTGACTTTCTAACAGTTTTCGGACCGAATTCGGAAGAATCGTCTATTCATATACATTTTCTGGAAAAAATATTACCATCTGGTTCTAATATGGATTTGGTTTCACAATATAATAGCAATACGACTCATCTAAATCGGATGCTAGTTCTATGCTATTAACGCTATTCTATGCTATTAACGACTGATATTTCATTTTTTCCTATTGACAAAATAGCATACATTTAGATGGGTATTAAATTGGAATGGACTGCGGATTGCTGGGTTACCACTCAAGCAGAAGAGAAAAAATCACTCAGAGAAATTTCTCAGAATTCGGACCTACGTCGGTTCGACGAGTCAGAAAAACTTCAGACTTTGAGCAGACATTTGGTTCGCTGGATTCTTGCCCCCCAATTCAAATCGAAATTCCTATGAAACGTTCAATTTTGGATACATATTCGGCTCGACTTCTGATCGAAAGTTATTTGGAGTGGTTGACGTGTTGTTGAACCGAAGTGTCTGTTGAAAAGATGTTCCTGTTGGGCGGTCGTCTGTATATTCCATTCTAATTAATTGACGGCCTCATTCCCAAACATGATGCCAAGATTCTTCTTTCCCATATCCTTAAACTCTCCATTTGAACCGAGGATATGTCAGCCCAAGTGAAAAGGGAAGGAATACCTTGAATCACCAACCTTGATCGTAGGGATATATCTCCGGAAGATCTTTGCTGTAGGCAGTGGCTGGCCTTTGTAAACCACAGATACACACTTTCCAACGTTGAGGTCATTTGTTTAAGTAATTGTGGATAGTATTCAAGTACGCATTCAATCTTCTTTCCACTGTGATTCCGAAGCGACCTCGTAGCGCCAATAAGATGTCATTGACCTAAATTAGCAGTAATCCTCCTACAGGTGGTCCAGGGATGTCGCTGACAAACATGTTGTATAAGACCGGTCTCAGCAGTTTTCAGACAGTTTGTCATCAACTCTAATCCGAAAGACTCTATCCTGGGGGAAGCTTGCTACCATGCGTCAGGTTTGTCCAAATCAAATCCAAACGATTACATTTTGTATAATATGCCATTTGCCATACCGTATCAAAGGTTCCAAGCCAAGCCAAGACCAATTGTAATTGTACCCAGTTCGGACTTGAAGCCATCCCTGACGTATGTTTTAAAGACTGCTACGCCATGGATTGTAGAGTGTTTTGATCTATATTTGAATTGGCAATCCTTTGGTATCCTCCTCTCTTCGATGGGAAATAGGAGATGTTCAAGAAGCTTTACAAAGGGTGACATCAGGGATATCGGTCTACTGGGTGCGATAAAAGAACTGCAACAAAGTCAAACGCCATAAATTTTACATTTTGTTTTAATTTATTGAATGAAATCAAAACATGTCGGAAATAGCTTCAAATTTTAGAATAAGTTTTGATTTGTTCGAATTGGTCACGTTTGACAGGAATTATGGCCTTCAAACGGCCAAAGAAACCGTCACACGCAGCCCGAATGTTGCTCTACGGTATTTTGGCTCATTCCCGGCGAAGCGCTAGTTTGAAGTGATCGACACTTTGGTAGTTTTTAGTGCCAAACTTGCTATCCGGAAATTTTTTTTGGCTATTGTGCGCTGGAAATGAAGCAAGGAACCTAATTTTGTAACGATTTTTAGGTGGCTCGTGCTGAGTGCAATGATGCTGAGTCCTGTTGGAATGTCCAAGATTTGCGGCCAAAATGTCTGCGTGCCCAAGGCTTTAATACACCATCCAGAATATTTTCGCGATAATATTCGGCATTTATTTTGATGCCACGATCTATTAATACGAGCTGAGAGCGACAATCGGCTTTTATGGCGGCCCACACCATCACCATGGCCGGCGCTTAAGTTCTGAGTTTATTTTCTTTCTGTTGCGGTGCAAGTTCTTGTACTTATTGGAATTTCAATGGCTTTACCCCGAGCTCATTTTCAATATTTGCCGAATGGAATATTGCGATGTTGCTGATTTCTTCCGTCCACTTCCTTGACGTCGGGCTACGCTACCAGTATCACGGTAACGAGCGATGGTACGAGCCACTTGTAGTTTTCCAGCGAAATATTAAGAATTCAAACTATAACGCTTGAATTCCATTACAAATAACTTGTTTCTGGAAAATGCTCACCAAAATTGTAGAGGTATTTTCTTGTAAACAATATAATGATCTGTCACTGGAATAATTTTAACAGCTCTTGGACAAGTGGCTTAGAAATGACAGCAGTCTGAAATTGGTCGGAGTTTTTTCATCTCACCCTGTAGAGGTCTTGTTATAATTGATCCGACCATGTCTGGATCAACAAATCCATTTTCATCGGTGTGCATTCATGGTAGAGCCATCTGTTTTGAATTCGTTGCCGAATTCAACAAAGGGCATGTGATTTTCAATTTCTTCCACTGTTGTATCGACAAGGTTACCGAAGGTATTCTTTATTATTTTCTCGGACTGATGATTATCCTGTATATGGTCGGCCAGAATCTCAACTTTTTGTGTGTTATCCGAGGTAATCACTCAACTATTTGTTACTATTCCTTTTATTGACTACCGAAATGCCAGGCCAGCGGCATTATTATTCTATTTCATGAATAATAATAATTTGCTTGATAATTATACTTAAGTTCCTGTCTTTTCCTCTCGGCGATGAATCTGTGGATGTTGGGTGGAAGATCTCTAAGCAAATAACTCCTGACTTCCCGGGTTGGCACGTTGTTTTCGATCTAAATATAGTGCTTTACATTTTTCTCTGCTATGGTAACATTTCTCTCCACAGAGAGAGAGAGAGAGAGAGAGAAAGAGAGGGAGAGAAAGGGAAGAGAGAAACACACTGCATTTTATTTCCTGTTTTGCAAATGTTACCAAACAAGCAGAAGAGAAAACAAACATAAAATCCCTCAGACAAATTGGGAGGATTGGGATAATCGTCGGACATATATCGGTCAAACGCTTCAAACAAAACTTCAGACTTTGAACAAATGTGTCAGACTTGTGACATTTGGTTCGCTGGGTGTTATCCAAGTTCTGGTCGAGTAGGTGTCAGCAATTATGTTTTCGACTACAATTTCACATCGATCAACCACTTCGCCGCCGGATAAGCAGTGATAATCACTAATTTAATTAGAAAAGCAGGCAATGACATTTCAAATATTTAAATCAGTTATAATCTGTGAAATGATTTCTATTACATTTGATAATTGATTTGTCATTGGCCGTTGAGCTTTTTATTGGTTGACCGTAGCTGTCAGATTACATGCAAGCAACAAATAATTATTCTATTTCACGCCTGATATTTTGGGAAAGGAGACTAAAAATAGATTGCAGACCTTTCTTTAATGGGTTTTTACAGCCACAATTCAGTGTATTTAAATTGTCAATTCCATTGCGGATAAATCAAATGTAAAATTCAGTAGCTTTAATTTGACGTATAGGCCATAGAATTGACAATTGAAATCCACTTGACTAGTTATATTTAAATACTACAAATTGCCCGCTATTTCGTCATCAAAAAGTTCACCTCAATTTTCAAAATTCCAGCTCTATCCTAAGACCCAATGCCAAATTTATAATCATACTTTTCGAACAGTATAACTACCTCCATATCAAAATTTAGGATTCCAGTACTAACCCTTTGCCCTAGCTCTTTGATTTCCCCCTTTACCAAATGTAGTACCGTTTAGTACAATTATAGTCTCAACTACAGACACTCCAGTTCCAATTCTATCCCTTAACCCAATACCAAATTATGTAGCATTTAGTACTTTTAGTACTACGCATTTTTATACCTTACCCATATGGCTACAGAGGGTATATATCATTTGATACGGTCAAAACGTGCCTAGTCGAAATAACCGTTTTAGACCCTAGGTCTCTTTGGTCCACAAATGGTCAAAATTTTGAATAATTATAACTCTTATAAAATATGATGTAAGAGTCCGATTGTTTTCAAATTTCACTCATCCCAATATTTATATTAACCCGAGGTCTGGTGTTAAGATGGAATATATCGGTCCACTACTTCTGGTACCTCCCACACACAAGTTCGAAATTTTCAAAAAAAAAAACACAAAATATTTTTTTCTGCACAGAAAGAGAAAGGATAATCCGATTTTGCTCCAACATTGCAAATCCTAATATTTGCATCAGTTCTAGGTCAGGTGCAAAAATGGATAATATCGGTCCACTCCATCTAGTGCCTCCCCCATAAAAGGTAAACATTTTTAGTAATTATATGTCATTTTTAATAATGTGATGTAAGAATCTAATTGTCTTAAAATTTCACACATTCCAATATTTTTATTAACCCAAGATCTGGTGTTAAGATGGAATATACCTGTCCAATCCTACCGTACCTCCCGCACAAAAGGTCGAAATTTTGAATATCCATTAAGCTCATTAAATACGAAATTAACATCCGATTCCATTCAGACTTGGCACATCTGTATATTTCTATCAATACAGGATCTGTTAAAAAATGGTAGAAATCGGACCATTCCTTCTGGTACCTAACCCACAAAGGGTCAAAGTTTTGAATAACAAAAACGTTTTTAAAAAAAAATCGAAATAAGCCTCAGGCTCTCTTTATATTTCACACATTCCATTATTTCCACTAACAAAAGATCTGTTGTGAAGATGGAATATATCGGTCCACTCGTTTTGGTACCTCCACCAAAAAGGCTCAAAATTTTGAATATTCATGAAGCTCATGAAAAGCGAAATTGACTTCCGATTCCATTCAAGACTTGGTACATCCCAATAATTTTCAAACAATTATAGAATACATTTTCAATCCCACTTCCACATCTTAACCACGGACACCAACAACTATCTGCTCACCCAATAAAAAGAAATTATGGCGTTTGACTTTGTTGCAGTTTTTTATACCCTCCACCATACTATGGAGGGTATATTAACTTTGTCATTCCGTTTGTAATTCCTCGAAATACTGATATCAAACCCAACAAAGTATATATATTCTTGATCAGCGTAAAATTCTAAGTCGATTTAGCGATGTCCGTCTGTCTGTCTGTCTGTCCGTCTGTTGTAATCACGCTATCTTTCGAATGAATTGAGATAGATGGCTAAAATTTTGCACACATGTTTATTTTTCCAGTAGGCAGGTTAAGTTCGTTAATGGGCCATGTAGGTCCACGTTTTCATATAGCCCCCATATAACGGTACCTCTCTATATTCGATATTTTGATGATTTTAGCGATATTATTCACGGGAATTGTTTCAAATTTGGTATTTGAAGTTCAAAATGGATACTACACCCTAAGACGGAAAATTGTCTGTGCAGATCCACGTCTTCGTATAGCCCCGATATAACGGTACCTCCCGATATTCGGTTTTTCGATGATTGTAGCGTCATTATTCACGGGAATTGTTTCAAATTTGGTATTTGAAGTTCGTTATAGGAACTACAGTCTGTGACAGAAAATTGTCTGTGCGGGTCCAGGTCTTCGTATAGGCCCCATATATCAGTGCCTCCCTATATTCGGTATTTTGACGATTTTAGGTACAATACCCACTGAAGTTGTTTGAGATGTGGTATTTGAAGTTCGTAATAGATGCTACAGCCTGTGACAGAAAATTGTCTATGCTGGTCCAGGTCTTCGCACAGCTCCAATTTAACGGCACCTCCTTATATACGATATTTTGATGATTTTAGCTACGTTATTCGCCGTTTATTTCAAGTTTCGAATTTGCTTAATGGCTTATGACAAACAATGCCTATGTATGTCCACGTCGTATAGACTCCAATATAAGGCTATATTCGGTATTTTTAAAATTTTAACAGAATTTTTTAAGGATTTTATTTTTTAGAAATTTCCAAATTCGTTCAAAATGGTGGAGGTTATTAAAAGTTCGGCCCGGCCGAACTTACTGCTTTTTAACTTGTTTTATCTCACCCTATACATTCCAACATTGATTTTCATACCAAATTTCAAGTCTTTAGCTTTATCCGTTCACATAGTTAAAATTGGTATTAATTTATAAGTTTAATACCATTTTATATCTTTTCGTATCCTTTAAGTTCGAATTACCAAAAACCCTTTGGCACATCTATCCTGCACTCCATCAGTGACTTATTCCACATTTCATTCTATGCAAAATCATAAATTCCATATTTATCTCAGGTTTCTGATTGAGAGAAATATTAAGATACGGCAAGTTGTAAAGTATCGCTGTCTTGTTATGAGAGATAAAGTTATGACAGATAAAAGTATTGAAAATTATGATCCTTTGTGGGTGAGGTATCAGAAGGGGTTCTCACATATAAATCATCTTCACAACAGATCTTGTGTTAGCAAAAATGTTTCTATGTGTGAAATTTGAAGATAGTTGGATGCTTATTTCGCTTTCCTGGAGCGTTTTGTTTTTCAAAATCTTCAACCCTATGTGGGGGAGGTGCTAGAAGAAATTGTCCGATCTCTACCATCTTTATAACGGATCTTGTGTTAATGAAACTATTGAGATATACCGAGTCTGAATGAAATTGGATGCTAATTTCGCATTTTATGAGCTTTTATTTAAAACTTTGACACTTTGTGGGGAAGGTACAAGAAGGAGTTGAACGATATATTCCATATTTATACCAGACCTTGGGTTAATGAATGTATTGTGATGTGTGCAATTCTCAGACTATCGGAATCTTGCATCATATTTTATAAGAGTTATAATTATTTAAAATGTTGAAACTTTGTGGGGGAGATACCAGAAGGAATCGACCGATATTGCCCATCTCCGAACTCGATTTTCGACAATAATATTACGATGTACCAAATTTGGATCGAATGGGATATTCCCTTTGAGAGTTATCGTGCGCTCCAGCCAGACAAACAGACGTCCTGAAAGGGATTAGGTCCAAAGAGACCAAGGGTCTAAAACCGTTACTTCGACTAGGCACGTTTTGGCCGTATCAAATGACATGACTCCCTCTAGAGCCATATAGCTGAGGGTATAATTACAAATTTTTTGCATTTTTATACCCTCAGCAATATGGCTAGTTATCGATATGGTATAGCCCCCATATAACGGTACCTCCCGATATTCGATATTTTCTTAGTTTTAGCCACATTTTTTAATGGAATTTGTCTCAAAATCCACACAAGGGGTTCCTTCAGAGTATACTACCCTTGGAAGAGACTTGTCTATATGGGTCCACGACATCGTATATCCCCCATATAAAGGTACATCACGATAATCGGTATTATGACGATTTTAGCGACATTTTTCAATGGAATTTTCTCAAAATCCTCACCAGCAGTTTATTTTGAGTATTTTACCCCCTGGAAGAGAATAGGTCCATGATATCGTATAGCCCTAATATAACGGTACCCTCCGATATTCGGTATTTTGGGCGAATTTTTTTCTAATTTCGTATTTAAAGTTTGAAGCTCATAATGAATGCAGCAACCTATGATGGAAAATTGTCTATGCAGGTCCACGTCTTCGTATAGCCCACATCTCCCTTTATTCGGTATTTGGGTGACATTAGCAACATTATTCACCGGAATTATCTCAAATTTGATGATATAAACGACATTATTCAACCGAATTATTTCATATTTCGTATTTGAAGTTTAGAATCGCTAGTACAGCCTATGACAGAAAATTGTCTGTGTCTATATGTCTTCGTATAGCCCTCCCGATATTCGGTACTTTAATGATTTTAGCTACATTTTTCACCGATTTTTTTCCAATTTCACATTTGAATATTTTAATGGCTTATGACAAAAGTTGCCTATGCAGGTCCACGTCATCGTATAGACCCTAATATAACGGCTATATTCGTATTTTTAAGATTTTAACAGAATTTTTAACGGATTTTATTTGTTTGGAAATTGCCAAATTTCTTTCCAAATGGAAGTTATTCAAAGTTCGGCCCGATCGAACTTCCAGCTTTTTTACTTGTTTGTCTTACACCACACTTTACTACAGGTTATTATGTTTTTGTGCAATTTTTTCTAACATGCAGAAGGAAACGAAATCATTTGTTTACCCAAGGATAAACTCTACTAAAATTGGCGGGAAACCGAACATATTTAGGTATAGCTCAAATGTATATTACCGGTTTTTTTGTTCACGAAATGGACGTCCAAACAGAACCTAAAAGCAGGTACATCAAATTTGGTAAAAATTGGTCTAGATATAGCTCCAATATATGCCACATTTGATACGAGAGGTCACAAATAGATTTTATTGACTTGAGTATTTATCTTCGCTGGCATTTCTTTACATTTAACAAATTTGTATAACATCGCCATGGAAATTCCAGACATGTAATCAAAAATATAAATATCTATTTAATTGTTTACCAACTATTTCACTCACATTTCACATTTTTCACTTTGCACACTACCAATAGCAATATAATCAAGAATTTCGAAATTCGGTCCACCACAACTTTTTGTAACTTATGCATTTTTTAGCCGAAGAAAAATCCAAATTTCTTTCTTTCTTTTTTCGAACCTTAAACGTCCACCACTGAGATAACGTCAAAACTTATTGAACCGCCAACCAACAAAACTAAACAAAAATTAATAGCGGCCAAGTTTCAGACGATCTGTCGAAAATATTCTCACACAGAGAGTGGTGGAAAAAAAGACCAAATAACTGAAAAGTTGTTAAATGATTTAATTATTGTTATAAGCAATTTCATATTTAATTGATTTTTAAATTAAAATCTGACAAAAAAAAAACCGTAAAATGCTGTGAAGCATTTTGATTCATCCACCCGCACTGTAGAAATGTGTAAATGAAAAATGTGTTGAATCACATACACACACACACACACATAAACACATAGCTAGAGTCACAATAAATGATGGCAATTTGATTTTATTTTTCACAAAGTGAATTGACCTTAAACAAGTAAAAAAGCTGTAAGTTCGGCCGGACCGAACTTTAAATACCCTCCACCATTTGGAACGACAACAGACAATTGTCTATCATAGGTTCGTAGTATCCACTATGAATTTCAAATACCACATTTTAAACGATTCCGGTGAATAATGTCGCTTAAATCATCAAAATACCGAATATCGGGAGGTGCCGTTATATGGTGGCTATACCAAAACTTGGACCTACATAGCCCATTTTCAATACCAAAAGACCTGCAGACATAATATACATACGTGTAAAATTGTAATAAACCTACTTCATTCCGTTCGGAAGCTAGAGTGACTTCCACAGACGGATAGATGGATGGACATCGCTAAATCGACATAGAATTTTATGCTGATCAAAAACATATGTACCTTGTGGGGCCTATAATGTATATTTCGAGGTGTTACAAACGGAAGGACAGACTCAGTATACCCTCCATACTATGGTGGAGTGCATAAAAACGCTTTGAAATATTTTATAGGGTTATTCGGTAAGGGGGGACTCTCGTCTAATAAATACACAAAAAGCTAAATATGGCGAAAACTCAATATTTAAGGAGTTATGGCCATTTCAAAATATTCAATAATTCATGCCTGAAAAAGTGATCTCAAATAATAGCTAAAAACGCCGAAAACTCAATATTTAAGGAGTTATGGCCATTTTAAAATTCTTATTAATTCACACTTAAAAAAGTGATCACAAATAATAGTTAAAAACGCCGAAAACTCAATATTTAAGGAGTTATGGCCATTTTAAAATACTTGTTAATTCACACATCAAAAAGTGATCACAAATAATAGCTAAAAACGCCGAAAACTCAATATTTAAGGAGTTATGGCCATTTTAAAATATTGATTAATTCACACTTAAAAAAGTGATCACAAATAATAGCTAAAAACGCCGAAAACTCAATATTTAAGGGGTTATGGCCATTTTAAAATATTGATTAATTCACCCTTAAACAAGTGATCATAAATAATAACTAAGAACGCCGAAAACTCAATATTTAAGGAGTTATGGCCATTTTAAAATATTGAATAATTCACACTTAAAAAAGTGATCACAAATAATTGCTAAAAACGCCGAAAACTCAATATTTAAGGAGTTATGGCCATTTTAAAATATTGATTAATTCCCACTTAAAAAAGTGATCACAAATAATAGCTAAAAACGCCGAAAACTCAATATTTAAGGAGTTATGGCCATTTTAAAATATAGATTAATTCACCCTTAAACAAGTGATCACAAATAATAGCTGAAAACGCCGAAAACTCAATATTTAAGGGGTTATGGCCATTTTAAAATATTGATTAATTCACCCTTAAACAAGTGATCATAAATAATAACTAAGAACGCCGAAAACTCAATATTTAAGGAGTTATGGCCATTTTAAAATATTGAATAATTCACACTTAAAAAAGTGATCACAAATAATTGCTAAAAACGCCGAAAACTCAATATTTAAGGAGTTATGGCCATTTTAAAATTCTTATTAATTCCCAATTAAAAAAAAAAGTGATCACAAATAATAGCTAAAAACGCCGAAAACTCAACATTTAAGGAGTTATGGCCATTTTAAAATATTGATTAATTCCCACTTAAAAAAGTGATCACAAATAATAGCTAAAAACGCCGAAAACTCAATATTTAAGGAGTTATGGCCATTTTAAAATATAGATTAATTCACCCTTAAACAAGTGATCACAAATAATAGCTAAAAACGCCGAAAACTCAATATTTAAGGAGTTATGGCCATTTTAAAGTTTAAGGAGTTATGGCCATTTTAAAATTCTTATTAATTCACACTTAAAAAAGTGATAGCTAGAAACGCCGAAAACTCAATATTGAAGGAGTTATGGCCATTTTAAAACTCAATATTGAAGGAGTTATGGCCATTTTAAAATTCTTATTAATTCACACTTAAAAAAGTGATCTCAAATAAAAGCTAAAAACGCCGAAAACACAATATTTAAGGAGTTATGGCCTTTTTAAAATTCTTATTAATTCACACTTAAAAAAGTGATCTGAAATAATAGCTAAAAACGCCGAAAACTCAATATTTAAGGAGTTATGGCCATTTTAAAATTCTTATTAATTCACACTTAAAAAAGTGATCACAAATAATAGCTAAAAATGCCGAAAACTCAATATTTAATGAGTTATGGCCATTTTAAAATATTGATTAATTCACACTTAAAAAAGTGATCACAAATAATAGCTAAAAACGCCGAAAACTCAATATTTAAGGAGTTGTGGCCATTTTAAAGTTTAAGGAGTTATGGCCATTTTAAAATTCTTATTAATTCACACTTAAAAAAGTGATAGCTAGAAACGCCGAAAACTCAATATTGAAGGAGTTATGGCCATTTTAAAATTCTTATTAATTCACACTTAAAAAAGTGATCACAAATAATAGCTAAAAACGCCGAAAACTCAATATTGAAGGAGTTATGGTCATTTTAAAATTCTTATTAATTCACACTTAAAAAATCAAAGCTAAAAACGCCGAAAACTCAATATTTAAGGAGTTATGGCCTTTTTAAAATTCTTATTAATTCACACTTAAAAAAGTGATCTGAAATAATAGCTAAAAACGCCGAAAACTCAATATTTAAGGAGTTATGGCCATTTTAAAATTCTTATTAATTCACACTTAAAAAGTGATCACAAATAATAGCTAAAAACGCCGAAAACTCAATATTTAAGGAGTTATGGCCATTTTAAAATATTGATTAATTCACACATAAAAAAGTGATCACAAATAATAGCTAAAAACGCCGAAAACTCAACATTTAAGGAGTTATGGCCATTTTAAAATATTGATTAATTCCCACTTAAAAAAGTGATCACAAATAATAGCTAAAAACGCCGAAAACTCAATATTTAAGGAGTTATGGCCATTTTAAAATATTGATTAATTCACCCTTAAACAAGTGATCATAAATAATAACTAAGAACGCCGAAAACTCAATATTTAAGGAGTTATGGCCATTTTAAAATAACAAAAAATAATTAAAATATTGATTAAATCATATTTTAAAATGTGATCACAAATAATAGCTAAAAACGCCGAAAACTCAATATTTAAGGAGTTATGGCCATTTTAACATATGGATTAATTCACCCTTAAACAAGTGATCACAAATAATAGCTAAAAACGCCGAAAACTCAATATTTAAAGAGTTATGGCCATTTTAAAATATTGATTAATTCACCCTTAAACAAGTGATCATAAATAATAACTAAGAACGCCGAAAACTCAATATTTAAGGAGTTATGGCCATTTTAAAATAACAAAAAATAATTAAAATATTGATTAAATCATATTTTAAAATGTGATCACAAATAATAGCTAAAAACGCCGAAAACTCAATATTTAAGGAGTTATGTCCATTTTAAAATGTTGATTAATTCACACTTAAAAAAGTGATCACAAATAATAGCTAAAAACGCCGAAAACTCAATATTTGAGGAGTTATGGCCATTTTAAAATATTGATTAATTCACACTTCAAAAAGTGATCACAAATAATAGCTAAAAACGCCGAAAACTCAATATTTAAGGAGTTATGGTCATTTTAAAATATTGATTAATTCACACTTAAAAAAGTGATCACAAATAATAGCTAAAAACGCCGAAAACTCAATATTTAAGGAGTTATGGCCATTTTAAAATTCTTATGAATTCACACTTAAAAAAGTGATCACAATTAATAGCTAAAAGCGCCGAAAACTCAATATTTGAGGAGTTATGGCCATTTTAAAATATTGATTAATTCACACTTAAAAAAGTGATCACAAATAATAGCTAAAAACGCCGAAAACTCAATATGTAAGGAGTTATGGCAATTTTAAAATTCTTATTAATTCCCACTTAAAAAAGTGATCACAAATAATAGCTAAAAATGCCGAAAACTCAATATTTAAGGAGTTATGGCCATTTTAAAATTCTAATTATTTCCCACTTAAAAAAGTGATCACAAATAATAGCTAAAAACGCAGAAAACTCAATATTTAAGGAGTTATGGCCATTTTAAAATTCTTATTAATTCCCACTTAAAAAAGTGATCACAAATAATAGCTAAAAACGCCGAAAACTCAATATTTAAGGAGTTATGGCCATTTTAAAATTCTTATTAATTCACACTTAAAAAAAGTGATCACAAATAATAGCTAAAAACGCCGAAAACTCAATATTTAAGGAGTTATGGCCATTTTCAAATATTGATTAATTCACACTTAAAAAAGTGATCACAAATAATAGCTAAAAACGCCGAAAACTCAATATGTAAGGAGTTATGGCAATTTTAAAATTCTTATTAATTCCCACTTAAAAAGGTGATCACAAATAATAGCTAAAAACGCCGAAAACTCAATATTTAAGGAGTTATGGCCATTTTAAAATATTGATTAATTCACACTTAAAATGTTATCAGAAAAAATAGCTAAAAACGCCGAAAACTCAATATTTAAGGAGTTATGGCCATTTTAAAATATTGATTAATTCATTTTAAAATTCTTATTAATTCACACTTAAAAAAGTGATCAAAAA